CATTGTTAAAACACACATATAACATGATCAAAACTAAAAAAAAAAAAAAAAAAAAAAAAAAAAAAAAATCATCCCAAATAGAAACATCTTGGTTAGGGCTTAGAGGTCTGATTTTCAATGAACACAACCTCCTGATCAGCCAGGCTGTAGCATTCTCATCGCTGAGCAACATTAACCATAGCACAACAACCTGTAACTCACCAGCTGGATTTTAACTAGGCATTTAAAGCATATACAGGAAGAATACAAAGTGGAGTTATTACAATGAAAGTGTGGCTAAAGTTTAGCATCAAATACATGAGCAGAATGTCAGCTTATTGCTGAGATGTGTACAAATGCCATCCACAGGGACAAATTCAGTTGTCTTCTGTGACTTCATAAGAATAGGGACGCAGTAGCAGCTGCCAAAGAACTGACACGTATTGTTGTATAGAAAAAAACATGCCAATATTCTTTTCTCCACCTTAAGATGGAGAATTGAAAGTGCTCCTACAGATCATGCCAGGATTTTTCTTCGTTACTGCAAATACAATGACATACATATAAAAACATACAATTTTTTCTTGTGAACTTTGTAATAAGCACACATAACAACACCTACAGCTTCTACTCAGCAAGTGCTGTGGGATTTATTATGTAACCAAAAAATCTGCTTCGATCACTAGAAAGAAGCACTTCTCCTTTCTTCCCTAGAAGGTGGTTATTGCTACCAATGAAGTTATTCTCACGATTCTGACTTCAAAGTCTCCATAAGAAAAAATCAGGTATTTTTGAGAGTCACAGTCTAAGCACTATAAGCTGTTGTTTACATCTGATGACACTTGTGACTCCTGCATTTTTTCCCATCAAGTTTGTGACACACAGAAGTGAATTTCAAAACAGATACCATACAGCTGCCACACCTTTGGTGGCCACAAAGATGCTGAAGGGCTTGGACTATGTGAGCTATGTAGAGAGGCTGTGAGCTGCAACTGTTTCTTTACTGGAGTAGAGAAAGCTCAGGGGGACCTTAGTTATGTGTGTAAATACCTGGTGGCGGGAAGTAAACAAGATGGAATCATAATCTTGGTGCTGCCAAGTAAAAGAACAAGAGGAATGGGCACAAATTTAAATAGGGGAAATTCCACAGAGCAGGGGTGAGGTTGGAGTAGATGACCTTTGTAGGCCCCTTCCACCCTCACCCATTCTGTAATTATCTGATTTTAGTACTGAATCCGTGTGGGTATTTATGTATTTTATGAAACGAGCAGGCTCATTTAGCAACATACTGACAACAAAAAGAAGAACCAGAGCACTGTACAATGTACTCAACAGGCCATAAGGCGCAAGAGCTTCAGGAAACGAAGCACTCTGCATACTCTCACAAGAGGAGCAGTAACAGACTAACTCCAAGGCCCAAACAAGTGCATCCATAAGCCAGCAAAGTGGAGAGAAGGGCCATCTCTCCAGGACTGCAGGAATAGCTGTGATCAAATGCACTACTCCTCCAAACTGGAATAGTGTGTGTCTTCACAGCTAGAAGAGAGGTGCATGGAGCTGAAAGAACAACAGAAAAAGATCACCCAATTCTCTGCTTGTTTTCAAACAGATAGGAGCAGCATCTGATACGAGCAGCACAAAATGAAACATAGGTAACAGGAAAAAAAAAAAACCAGCAGGAAAACTAATGTCTAGATCAAAAGATGATCCAGGACCAATCCTAAACAAAGCAATAGGAGCTGAAGTGTTAGAAGAAACCACCTTCTCTGGTTTCTGGAGCATTCACAATGATCAAAAGGTCCACAGGACCCTTCACAACATGTGTGGATGAATGAAAAGAAGAAAAAGATCTTGTCTTCCTCTTACTTACTACATTAACATCTTTCTGATTTTCATCCACACCTGAGGAAAGAGAAATAGGTGGAAACCAACACACACTGATTTCTGACAAGTGAGTAAGAGCCAGGCAAAATACACGTTAGACAACTATAATTTCCCTTCACTGTTCTGCTCCCCTTCAATCTCCTGGAAAAAAAAAATCACAGCTGCCTATCCCAAAGCTCCTGAGTAGGTACTATTAATCATACTGCACATCTCTGCAGGCTGCAACATACTGGTTTCCCTTGCAGCAGCTACCTTCTCAAGAACTCTTTTCCAGAAAGCAGTGTTGACTCACTAGTTACCCACGGGGGAGTACCAGTACTTCAGACACAACCACCGTAACTACCAAGAACTTTCTGAATATCAGAATGTCGTGGTTTAAACCCTAGCCAGACAGCTTGTTCACTCACTCCCAGTGAGTGGTGCCAGGATGAGAGCAATCGAGGGCTCCCCCCCTTCCCCCCCAGGGCTCTCTCCCCTTCCCCGCTCCCGGAGGAACAGGGAGGAGGACTGAAAGAGTGCAATTCCCACGGGTTGAGACAAGAACAGTCCAGCAACCAATGTACAACACAAATCACCACCGCTACCACCAACGACAACAATGGTAAGAGAAAATAACAAGGGAAGAGAATATGATACCACCGGCCAAGAAACGAGTCCCACCCGAAAGCCCGTGTCCTTCTGGGTAACTCCCAGTTACCGCCCACCCCGGGCATGACATGCTGTGGTATGGAATATCTCTTTGTCTAGCTTGGGTCAGGTGCCCCGTCTCTGCTTCCTCCCGGCTTCCCCTCCTCCCTGGCAGAGCATGAGCCTCACAAAGTCCTTGGTCAGGGTAAACATCACTTAGCAACAACCGAAAACATCGGCATCACCAGCACTGTTCCCAGGCTGGAAGTCAAAACACAGCACTGCACCAGCTACCACGAAGGAGAAACATTACTGCTACTGCTGAACCCAGGACACAGAACTGGCAAGGAGGATTAACTAGCATACTCCTATAGATTCAGAAGTTCCATCATAACAGATGAAATCCATACACTGTCATCTTATAGATGGTTAACTACCACAGAAGCCATATGTCGTGGTTTAAGCCCAGCCAACAACCCAGAAACCACGTGGCCGCTCGCTCACTCCCCCCGCTTCCGGAGGGATGGCGAGAAGAATCGAAAGAACGTAACTCCCACGGGTTGAGATAAGAACAATCCAGTAACTAAGGTATAACACAAACCACTGCTGCTACCACCAAGAATAATAATGATAAGGGAAATAACAAGGGAAGAGAATACAACCGCTCACCACCCGCTGACTGATACCCAGCCCGACCCAAGCAGTGATCTAGCCCTTCCGGGTAACTGCCTCCAGTTTACATACTGGGCATAACCCCTTTGGTTAGTTTGGGTTGGGTGTCCTGTCTCTGCTTCCTCCTGGCTTCCCTTCCTCCCTGGCAGAGCATGAGATTCAGAAAGTCCCTGGTCAGAGTAAACATTACTGAGCAGCAACTAAAAGCATCAGTGTTATCAGTGCTGTTCCCAGGCTGAAAGTCAAAAACACAGCACTGCACCAGCTACTAAGAAGGAGAAAAATAACTGCTACCGCTGAACCCAGGACATTGTAACATTACAAATACATAGAGCAAAGTACCCTACAGCAGTCTTTCTTTCACTTGGGACAAACTAACATGTTAAAAATATTAGGAAAATATGAATGCATAAGTAAGTTTTAATTGAAACCTAACAGCTTAAATGACAAAACATTTCTAGTATAAAATACCACCCAACATTAAACAATACTGGCTACAAACCTTGTCACGTATCTGGCTGCAGAGAAGGAAGAACAGATTTTTGGTTAAGTAGCTGACAAAGAAAGAAAAACAACCTTAAGTTCAAGACTCTTCAGTGAGAAATAAGAACATAGACTCTATGTTAATGAAGCAAGTAAAAAGCTAACAATACAAATGCTGGTACAATATGAGAGAGCAGATGGAAAACAAAATCAGAAAAGCAACAGAAATTGAGAGAGTAGGAAGCAGACATTCCCTTTTTCGTGTTACTTAAGAAAGCTGGTTTCATAAATGCACTAATTCACACTGATTGCAGCTAGCAGAGTTCACTATTACTTTGTATTTCAAGACACACACATTCATTTTCACCTGTCTTTGGCACAGCTGTTAGGATTTAAGTTTGGCATTTATTAAATCTAACAATAGAATTCCAGTCTCAAAATCTCCTTGCAGCACTTGCAGCAGATATTCCTCGCCTTGGTCTATGGACTAAGGCAGCAGTTCCAAAATTATGGTACACAGGACACTAGCAGTACCTGGTATTTGTGTTTCATCTGACTCAGTTTAGTTCTGGATGGTTAGATACCAATTCATGAGCAATTTGGGAGTCAGTAGACCAGATCATTAGAAGACAAAAAGATCCCACCTAAGATCATTTTACTCCTGTAAAGGACAGGCAATACACACATACATTCTTCTTGTGACACAAATTTTACTATGAAACAAATTTCAGCCAGCCTCCTTCCAGAACATAATGAGCTGCTAGTTGCTACAGTACTGCTTGTAATTACATGCACAGAATTTTTTAAAGTACTTGTCATCTGTTCCTCATTCCTAAAATAACAAAATTAAAAATACAATAAAATCTAATAAAAATTATAACAAAAGCCGAAAGACATAAAAAACAAAGACATTTGCATATAATTGGGGTTTTACTGGTTATTGAGCTTGTGTCAATATGAACATTTTTGTATTTTTCAAGATACTTCTGCACTTCCATGTCAAGGTTACTAATTTTTGTAGCACACGTATCTGATAAGGGGGAAGGGGCTATACTGTAATGGAAAGCATTTCTTTTTTTTTAAATAAACAAACAAAAAAATCATAGAATGCTCATTTTTTACTGAGCTTGCCACACAACCATCTTCAAAATATAAGCCTATATGCATAATCACTGACATCGCCTGTTATGTTAAACAGCAGTTTAGGAAAACCGATCTTTCAAGCCTTTAAACTCCACATTCCTTAGTTATGTCTAAAAGAAGGAGCTATGCCCATCTGCTAGAGGAGCACTTCTTCCTCTTGACTGCAGCCAGCATCATTTACCAATGTTTTTTCCAACAGCTGTCTGGACAAAGAATTAATAACCAGCATTTTGAGTAACAGTGTGAAATGTTTTCACCTCCTTGCCCCAGAAGCTATTTCAAAGCTTTTGCACAAACTAAATTTACATAAACATCCTCCTCTTAAGAACGGCATGTCCTCTACCTCAGATAGTCTTTCTCACCTTGAGGAAGCTACTGTGAGAAACACCAAATCTGCGCAGAGAGCTTTGACGAAAAAAAGAAGTGCACTATGACTACCTGAGACACACTTCAGTTTAAGCTCTTTAACTCCCTGTGATTATGAGCTTTGCTGGCATAAGCATTTGTAAGCTCCAGCCAGAAGGCACTGCTCAGCTTGAATTCAAAGGCAAGACAAATTTGGTAGAAGGGAACCAAGTTACTGGAAAAAAACTGGAGGCATAACTGAAGTGAACAGTGAAGTATAGAAAAGCCTTAAAGTCAGAGAAACTCTTCCATCTTTAAACAATCTGATAGGCAGAGTACTAAGCAGCAAAGCACTTACAAAAGCAGAGTACAACCAGCAAAGCGCTTCAAAATAGACAAACTGTCATTTCTGAATTCTTTCCTCCTGTTACCTCCTGTCTCCAGAATAGTATAAGATTCCTGCAGAAATAACAGCATCTGGTAATTTTGCACTTGGAAACTGACTGACATTCAGCACCCATTACTGTATGCAGACGGATGTATGCAGTTTCCCCCTTTAGTTACTTCCTGACTTAAAGCCTTATTTCCAGTTGAATCCCCCTTTTTTAGATACATGTTAAGAATCCTTCCTTTCAGTTCCTCAAAGATACAGTATGGCTTTAAACACTGTTAATGACACACTACACCCAGCTGAGGAAAATAAAACCAGCAGTTCTAAATGAAATACCCACTTAGATGCATGTCCTTCAGCAACTACTGCACTTCTGAGGATTCTGTTACTTTTTTCACAAGGACTCTGACAAAGAGTATCAGGCTTTAAGACTTGCCTGAATACACTGAACTGTGCTCTCGGCCTGAAGACACAAAACTGTGACTTGTGGTTACAAAGAGTTTGTGATTACAGTTAGTCTCAGTTGTTCCCTAAGTGGCAATTACAGGAAGAAGTATCACAAAAAGATGTGCAGCTGGATTTAGCATCAGGGAGGATAAATTCATACCAGTAATTTTAAGTCCCAGAAACCAGCCAAAACCTGCAGCTTTGACTAAGGGAAAACAGGCATGCTGAGATTTCCAGCTTTCTCTTAAGGGAATCTGGTAGAAATCGTAACAAATTGGTGAGTTCTCTGAGCATTTAGCAAGTTTTACTCATAGAATCAACTAGGTTGGAAAAGACCTTTAAGACCATCAAGTCCAACCGTTCACCTTCATTCAAGGAAGAAAACTTTAGAATTTAATACTATATTAAAATTAAAAGCTAATCCTTTTAAGACAAACTGTGTATAGTAAGAGTAAATTATTCTCAGCTCAGTTGACAACAAACTAAAAGTCTCTCTACCTTGTAAACAAGATCAAACACAACTTCTAGGGACCTAGTACTACTAACAAAACTGCACTAGGAAGGAGACATTCAGGTATGTAAGAAAGCTCCCAGACGAACAAACAAACCTTCAGCTGACGTCGGTAACTGGAGACTGGGAAAATGTCATACATAACTGTTCAACTTCCTTGAGATTCTGCTCAAGGCTGATGGGTATTTTTGGTTCTGTTTTTTTAAACCTCCGAAGCAATGCCTCACAATACAGTATAAAATCCTAAAGGCATTACCCAGCATAGTACTCTATCACAAAATATGAGAGACATGCTCGGAAAAGAAACATTATGGGTGCCACTGAAATCAGGACACACTGAGTAAGAACAGTATCACCATTCTCAGATCTAATGCATGCTTTTCTTGGAATCAGCTCAGATGTTTTTCATAAGTAGATCTGGGAATCATTCTTCACAAGGAAGTTGAAGCAGCCTATATACAGATTTGAAATATGCCTCTGCACATATTAGCAACTGGATAAAAACAATAAGCTGTGAAATAGCTTTTTAAAATATTTCTGCAATACATTTAAGGAAAGCTAGTAAACCAGTAAAGGTCTCTTGATATTGACAAAACTTGGAGATATCCAGAATATTCCAATTTCTTCTGGAAAATTAAAATGGATAGGACCACCTGAAGAATGTTGCTGTAATTCAGCTAAGAAGCACTTAGTACTCTTTCTTTCTTTCCCTTCACTGTCTTCTTTTTTCCTATTATTATTCTTCAAAAAAAGGCATAGCTGTTAACACTTTTAAACTAGGGCAGCTTTTTTTCCCTAATAGTAAGATGGTTTCCTCCTTGACTTTTTCTTAACAACTTGCTCCCATCTTTCTGTGCCATTTTTATCTCACTTGTTCCCTTCTCCCCACCCCTCCTGTCCTTTTATTCTGGCCTTCTCCTTTTTTTCACTTGTAAGGTGGTCCTCTCAAAATCTTGCCTCCCTTCTACTGCTTGCACGGAGAATAGCCCCTGCAGATACTACACTAGTAACTGCCTCCCAAGTTTCTTCTGTAATGCATCTCCACCTCTCTGACCAAAATACACATTCACAGTGATACATGAAAGTTCATCTTTGTAACCAGCACTGCTACACATTACATATACTGCTTTGTCTGGCTTTGTTACGTTTGTTGTTGGGTGGGTGGTTTTTTTTCCCCTTAAACCAGACACAGTTTGGAGACACATCGTTTAAAAGCTTTCTTTCCAATGTGGGTGGCACCACTGAACTAAGATTGACTTAAGAGTGAACAAATACTTCTCACATTCAACAACAGAATACACAAGGGACAGAACACTGAATAGAGAAGCTCCTCCACGCCTCAATCTTATGCTAAATGGGAAACTGATTGCACCTTTTGACATCTGCTTTCCAGATCTCATAATGTCCACCATTCTGTGAGGTATGTGCCATCACACTGGCTGCTAATTACAGGGAATATACCTTGGCAAGAGGTATTGCAGAGGTTGCAGCAATGCTGCAAAATTAGAAGCCTGTGAAGACCTCCTGAGGAGCAGCTAATTTTATCCTTTCTTGTAATAACACATAGCAGGAACTACAAAACCAAATGCCTTCTATGCACAGTATACGACCAGCACTGTGGTGTAAAGTTATGCAATCCCGTTCATACCATCCTGTTTATGAAGCATCCTTTGTTGGTATTAATCTTCTAAAACAAGTTCCAGTGAAAAAACTGCTAGAATAAAGATCAGTAAAGAAGGAAAATACATCTCAAACAAAGATGTCCAATAGGATTTTGCACTCATCATAAAGTTAGACGGTTTAAATAGGTCATACATACTATGCATTAAAATTTAATGAAGAACTTAGCTGGGACCTTTCTATGCCACAGTATTCTTGATAAAAGTTCCATTTTTTAAAGGATGTAGTTACACAACTCATTATTCAGATTTCAGTATTTGTTGATCTTTGAGCATTCCTGGAAATTTGTATAACCTTGATGACCAGAAGTCTTCATCCTGACCACCTCTAGCTGTGTACTATTTTGATCATTAGTGGTTGCTCTGAAATATTAGACCATACGGTCTGGATCTATAAATGGATTCTAACTTTAGGCTAAAAAAACATAATTTGGCTTATGGATATTCTTTAGCAGTAGTTGAGAACACTATTTCAAAATGCTTACCTGAGCCACATAGGCTTCAACCCTGTTTCTTGATGACAATGCGTTCCAGGCTGGACTTAGGAAGCTTCCTCCTAGACTTAGAGTTCTGTTCAGTGACAAGTTGTTGCCAAGATGTCCCAGTTCAGTTGAATACTGAAGTGGACTTTCAGCCAGACCTCCACTGACAATGCTGCTTGTGAATAAAGATTTGTTTCTGCGGCGCTCCAGAAGGAGCTTAGCTTTGGCTTCTGCTAGTCTCTCATTAGCTCTGAAACATTCAGAAACACACAAAGAGTCATCTTTGGTGGCAACACTTCCGCAAAGTTACCCTCCAGGTCTGTGATTATTATTCGACTTTTGAAAGTGAAAGGGATTAAGAGCATCCAAAACAAGAGCACCATTTGATCTGAGGTTTTCTGGGGACTTATTTCTAAGAAGTGACACTACCTGCAAGGAGCAGCAAGTCTTACCAACACTTAGGACTGAAAGATACATCACCTGTGTAAGAAAACTCTGGGTACCCTCCTTTACCCAAGGAGGGCTCAAACCTCAGACACGCTGCTAAATAAAGTCAAAGATTTTTTTTTTTTTTCTTCACAGAATCAAATTCTGTTCCTGAAAGACCTACACTTATTCAAGCAGTAAGGGACCTGAAATTTATCTTTTCTGCCATACCCAGGATAAGAGGAGGAGATAACTAGAGATTGACAAAAAGGCTCAATGAACTTAAAAGATGCCTTATTGATGCCACGATCAGTGGTACTGCTGAAGCACTGAAGAGACAGCCCTAATGAAGGGGAAGGGTCTGAAGGTACTTTCCTAACAAATATGCCATCTTATGCTTGCACGCATAATGCTGACCAGATGGAGAAGAGGGATTTTAGGAGGAAAATGCATGAGGAAAAAGTAGTATCTTACTGCCACTCCAAAAAAGGATGCACGCACCTTTCCAGTTTACTTCCTAGGCGTCTTCTGATTTTTAATTCCTCCAGATACAGCTCTTTGTACCTTTCCATTTCCACAAGTGTGGATCCTTGTTGAAAAATACCGTCTTGTTGTTTTTTTTTTATCCTGTCCAATTCACATTCAAGATCTCTTATTCTATGCTTTAGCTGGTTTCTCAGAGAAGCATGATGACTGGCTCTGATTTGTTCTAATCTGTCCTGGGAAACTGCCTGCATCTGAAGCAGATAATGCAGTTTCAACCACCACAAAGAAAAAAGAGAACTCCCCCACCAGTCAATTGCATACACTGAATTTCAGGGACCCAGCTTTATTCAGTGAGGCGAGTGTGCCTCCTCACTAACATCATCCATCAAGGCAGAAGAACCCTGGAAATACCACATGAGATAATTTAGCACTATTTTTCATCAAAGCTATTCATGAAAGAAGACTGTCTCTGTAAGACAGAACATACAGAAAAGGATTCATGCAAGTTGCAATACCCATTCAAGGATGAGCAGTGAGAACAAGACCAGTGTACAGCAATACTCCTGAAAACCTGTAAAACGGAAATCTACCTTGGGTAAGCTGTCGATTCAAGAAACTACTGCCACATTGCACACACATAAAAGAACTCTGTCCCAACCATATTCCCTTCTCCCACCACACTCCAGGAAAGACATCACAAACACACAGAATCAGGCACCAAAAATAAAACACTAGAAAATGATGACCATAACAGAATTCTATAATAGAAACTACAGACACATGTGAGAAATTCACTTACCCGCAAAATCAGATTGACTTCTTCTAGTTTTTGTCTTATTTCTTGTGCGGCTCGTTCCTCTGCCTCTCTTTTGTATTGCTCTATCTGGCTGCAATCTACCATGTTAGTGTCCATGTGATGTTTGAGCTTAGCCACCTCTTCTTTCAGCTGGCATTCGCTCTTCTCCAGTTTGTCATGGCTCTCACGCATGGTGGACAACTCTTCCCGCAAACTGCAATTTTGCGCTTTGAGCTGCATGCATATTTTAGACTCTTTCTCCAGCTGCTGGGAAAGGTCACCAACCTGTAGACAGTGGGGGAGCAGAAACTGATGAAGGGATTGGCCATCAAGACTATTGTTATCATCTGGTAACTCAGTATTAAAACTAAAGTGAAGCCAGGAACTTTTCTTAAACAAGAACAGATTTCACATAATTTCTGATAGCATTCCTCAGGTTCCACATTGTGTCCTGGGAAACAATGATACCATTTAGAAAAGCAAAATCTGTACTGTCTCCTGCCCAGCTTGTGCCTAAGAGATGGCTCAGGGGCTGATCTTGGGCAAAGCCAATTTCATACAGTTGTTTGATTTGCAGCACTGTTACTCCCCTCTTATCCAGAGAAGGGATTCATCTGTGAGACCTTGAAGATGCTGCTGCAGCCTCAAAGTGCAGCTAGGCCTGTGCCAGGCCTCACTGCTCTCAGCCCTCACCCTCAGCCATGGACATGACAAACTGGTAGGACAGCAGACCTCCCCATCCCTATGGACCGGACTGGCAATCTGCACTCATAGGGAGCCTGCCTGCTATCACAGGGCCTGTTCTGCCTTGCTTGGCGAGGACCTATGGGGCTGCTCTGCGGCCCTGCCAGCCCTAGTGCCAGTTTTGGCTAGGGTTAATGTTCCCTTGCAGATCCTGCTCTGCATATAATGTTTTTTTCTTTACTCATCATATCATCATTTATTCATCACTACCAGTATTATAGTCAGCTACTACTGGAATAGTAGATAGAGCATCAAGAAAGGTCAATCAATTCCAAAATACATCCAAGAAAGGGGCGGGGGGAATCAATGAGAATAGTAGTATAGGAAAGGTATAACACAGGTTTCAAGAGGAAAAGCAGCACCACCATCACAAAACCATAAACAAACCAAAACTCACCGTTGCTCTTAATCTACCGAGTTCATTGACCGTTTCAGAATATCCATTCTTCACTTCTCCCTGCCAATTAAGCTGGGACTCCATCTCTCTCTCCTCATATACCCTTACTTTCTTCACAGCTCTGCTCATAAGCCTCTTCAACCTGCACAGCAAATTGGTCAAAAAAAAAAACAACAAAAAACAACGAGGCACAGGAAGAACCATCCTCTTTCACATACTGTTATGTAAACAGCACAGGCACAGCTTGCTTCATCATTAACTGGGAATTACTGAGAAAAAACAGCGTTCCTGTGCCGCAAATCACCTGGGGGGTCCAAATTTCATATGAAAAGAAGATTGAAAGACTTCCCTTCCCTGCAGAGTAAGTACAAAGCAAGCTGCCTTTGCTGTTCTTCTGGCAGCTATGGAAAACTATAGGCTCATGCACAGAAGTGCCTGGCAAGAAGATGAGGCCTGAATTGGCTCACAAGCCGTTACGTACACCTCTTTGTACATTAAAGTCCAGTAACACTTCACCATGCTAAGAAACCATACCTCTTACAGTCTTTCTGCAGTTCAATGTTTCTTTTCGTTTCCTGATATAGACTCAGTTCGACTGGGTGTTGCAACTCTTCCAGCTTTTTCACTTTCTTTCTTTCGTTCTCACACTTTCAAAATAGAAAAGATACATGACACACACAGAATAGGAACAATGCAGTATGCGCATCTAGCCTTCTCCAGAAAGAAGTTGCAGTATATCTCTGTTAGCCTAGTTCCACAGAATGTCAAGGGACAGAATTCCTGAGAACAGTTAATTCCTTCGTGTTTTACAACAAATAGGACAATAGCTAACAACAGAAACAGATGCCCTCCCTGACACTAAGGCCACTCTCTTCTAATGCTTCAAGGCAAAAAGCTGGAAAAAGTGCTGGAGAACACTTCTGGCTGTTCCTCTGCTCATAGCAGGGCTTATGTAGGTATGCACATCACAGGAGCAGAGATCAATCTAAAGCTTTCATGGGACGTTCAATAACCAAAAGGCAGGGGCTTATGGAGGAATTTGATCTTTCAGAGTTCTTCAGTGCTTTATTCCCCTCTGCCATTACTTACATCTCCTCTTTCTGGGTATTTACTTACTGACATCTCCCTCTTGGCATTTTCTCAGCCAAACCAGAGGAGAGCTGGTACCTGTTTTGTACTTCCATTTTTCTTAAACAGGAGAAAAGGGAAAGACTGGCCCATGAAAACTAGCAGCAATTTCTTGCTTCCTAAGCACTAGTTCATTTGCCCAGTATTCCTTCAGTACAGACTTCTGCAAGGCTCTTAAGCTCCTGCTACCCTGAAAACTTGCACCAGCTCCTTGAAGTACTGCACTGGAAACACAAAGCATTTTAACACTGCTCAGAAACCAAGGAGTCAGAAAATGATCAGAAGGAATCCAAGAAAGAACTGGGGAACTGTGGCCTTATTTGATGCGCTCAACTGATGGCAAACCACACTGGGAACTCTTCCCAATAGAATTGCTGCAGAATTTACACAAAGATACCCAACTAGCTTTTTCTGGATGATCCCCAAATGACAAGACACTCAGAGCTTGAATGACAGGGATAATGGAAAAAAAGCAGAGTATGCAAGAACTCAACAGAAAGGTGGACTCAGTTCTCTGGGTGTTGACTAGGTGTTTGGAGAATTTGCTGGGCTCACCTGTTCCAGGAGTTCAGCCTTTTCCCTGTCAAGCTGAGCAACACGCTCTTCAAGGTGGAATCTTAACTTCAACTGCTCTTCCCACATACCGTGTAAGTCATTTGATATCAGATCCAGCACATTCTGCTTTTGCATCTATGAAAGCAACAGCAGCAGAAGAAAATCTAAGGTGACCAGAGAGACAACAGTGTGATAGACAGCAGCAACGTAAATGGAAACAGGCCTAAACGCTCCTTCCCCAATCCAAGACCTATGGTTAAAGTTAATGCAGAGTTACAACCAAGAACAGCAGCTGAACCTGGTGGAAAGACTGAATGCTGTAGAAGTGGCAAGATAAGGTTGCAGCTTTGGGGGATGACACAGGCACACACACACACAAAATTGCCCTAGAACTTTCTTCCAAAGGTTGTCTGTGGTTCCTAGCAATACATACTTTATAAGATAAGAATTCCGCTAGTGCCCACCACAGAAAATACTCTACTCTCATGGCTTCTGTATATCTCCCAGGAGTAAGAAAATGTTTTCAAATCAGCAATGCTATTTATGCTTCTACCCAAAGGAACAAAGTTTTGCACAACAGATGCGCCTGAGTGGAACAGAATTTGCTGATTCAGTTAACATATAAAGAATGCAACCTGACTAGATGCTTTTAGTGACATTCTGTAACGGGAGAAAGGAAAAAAAAAAAAAAAAAGATGAAAAGATGTCTAATGATCTACAGAAAGTCATGAAAACTTTAGCACAGAGGCTCAGATTAAAAAAATCCTCAGGGTGTACAACTTTCTCAAGAGTGTCCTTACAGACTAGCGAAATGCTGCGTCTTATGATAGAAGCTAACATAATCTCAAGGGAAAGCTCTGACATAGCTGCAAAGATAACATGGATCTCCCCAGTCCAGTCTCCTTTTGCAGCTTTCAACCACAGATCTACCTCCCTCTGCCCACGTCATTCATCCTATTCATCATCTGCCACGGTTTAACTTCAGTAGGCAGCTAAGCATGACACGGCCACTTACTCCCCCAGTGGGATGGGAGATAGAATTCACCAGACGAATCATGCTGAACACAAGTTCTTGCACACCACAGCACAGACAGAAAACACAGCAGCAGGAGAATGAGGAACCCTTGAGGGTACTTTGCCCTAAAACTAGAAGGGCCATTTTTCAGCTTAACTGTGCCTACACAGCCCACCTGGTGTTTTCATTAATTACCTGCATACAAAATATTCCAAGACTAAAGCAGCCATTCACAGAAGCCAGTCATGTACCTGTTGGTGGTGATCCCCCGTAGCTGCCTGTGTTGTCCGTAAGCTAGTTAACAAGTCTTCCAAGAGGTTATGAACCTACAGAAGCATTAAAAGAAGCACTATGACTTTCCAGAATGAAGTTTACACCTCATTACCAGAAATGAATATCACATTCTACAGCATTTACACGAAGCACCAATGACCAAATCACCCACAGTTTCATGTCACTATAAAATTGTTTGCAGTCATCAGCTATAGTTTTTTGCCTCAGGGAGAGAAAGCACCATGCAGGATACAAAGTCTCTTCAGTGAAAACAGGCTGAAGTGGCTTTTCCCATCCATGGTTTGAAAACCATGCCCTATTAACTAAAGGGAAGGATCAGCATCAGGACTGCCTTCCCTCTTCTCTTGTTAGTACATCATAAAGCTCAACTTTTACATGCAGTTATTTTCAAAATCTATTCAGTCCTAATATGAAACTAGAGTCATAACAAGAGCTCTAGTTCACTGCTTACAATACAAAAATAAGTTGCTTCATACAGGCCACAGATAAAAGCACCTTATCTAAGCTAAAATTAACGTTTTCTTAAAATTAGAGGTAGTGGGAAATTCCAAGACTCGCACCAAGTTCTGCAAATGATACAACAGGCATTTCTCTTCTTTCATGAGAACAAACACACACTAAGTGGCCAAAGGAAAAGCAAAAGTGTTTTGCTCCAAAATATAATATAAAATTATATTTTTTCTTATAAAATAAAAATATAAAAATAAATTAAAAATATAAAAATAAGTGGTTTGTTCCAAAAGATAAAAAATAAATTTTGTTCCAGTCTGATGATGCCAGTCAGGCCTCCAGCACAAACTGCTTGGCATCAATATCTGCTGTAGAATTTCCATGACTTAATTTGATGAATATCTTTGAAGATCCTTGGGGCAGTGAGAAGGGCATGCAGCAAGCTCACTGCCCTAGACTTCAAGACAGCAGACTTTGGCCTCTCCAGGAACCTGCTCAGTAAGGTTCCATGGAATAAAGCCCTAGAGGGCAGGGAGGCTCAAGAATCCTGGTTGATATTCAAAGATCACCTGTTCCAACATCACAAGCATTGCATCCCAACTAAAAGCAAATGCAGCAGGAGAGCTAGGAGGCCTCCATGGATGGATAGGGAGCTGCTGAGAAAACTTAGAGGGGAAAAAAGCAGCTTATAAAAGGTGGAAGCAAGGACAGGCAGCCTGGGAAAAACACAGGGATATTGTCCAGGTAGCTAGGGATCATGATGGTCAGGAAAGCTAAGGACCAGTTCAAATTGAGTCTGGCCAGGGACATCAACAGTAACAGGAAAGGCTTCTGTAGGTATGTTTCTAACAAAAAGACCAGGAATAATGTGGGCCTCTCCGGAAGGAAACAGGAGAACTGGCTACCCAGGATTTGTAGGAGGCTGAGGTTCTTCAATGACTTCTTTGCCTCAGTCTTCACTGGCAAGTGCTCTGACCACGCCACTCAAGTCTTGGAAGACAGATGCAGAGACTGTGGGAATAAAGACCTTAAGCCCACTGTAGGAGAGGATCAGGTTTGGGATGAAATCCATCTGCGGGTCCTGGAGGAGCTGGAAAATGGTGTCCCTCAGGAGTCAGTGTTGGGACCGCTGCTGTTCAACATCTTTGTCAGCAACGTGGACACTGGGACTGATGCCGCCTCAGCGAGTCTGCTGACAGCACTAAGGTCTGTGGTTTGGTTGATATGCTGGAGGGAAGGGATACCATCCAGAGGGACCTTGACATGCTTGTGAGGTGGGCCAATGCCAACCTCATGAAGTTCAACAATGCCAAGTGCAAAGTCTTAGGTCCAGGTCAGGGCAATCCCAGGCAAAGCTACAGGCTGGGTAGGGAAGTGATTCAGAGCAGCCCCGCAGAGAAGGACTTAAGGGTGTTGGTCAATAAGAAACTGAACATGAGCCAGCAGCATGCACTCACAGCCCAGAAAACCAACCGTATCCTGGGCTGCATCAAAAGGAGCATGACCAGCAGGTTGAAGGCGGTGATCCTGCCCCTCTATACTCTGCTCTCATAAGCCCTCACTTGGAGTGCTGTGTGCAGTTCTGGTGTCCTCAACATAAGAAGGACATGGAGCTGTTGGAGCAAGTCCAGAGGAGGGCCACAAGGATGATAAGGGGGCTGGAGCACCTCCCGTGTAAAGACGGGCTGAGAAAGTTGGGGCTGTTCAGCCTGGAGAAGAGAAGGCTGCGTGGAGACCTCACAGAAGCTTTCCAAGGGGCCTACAAGGATACTGGAGAGGGACTCTTCATCAGGGACTGTAGCAATAGGACAAGGTATAATGGATTAAAACTTAGACAAGGGAAGTTCAGGTTAGATATGAGGAAGTCCTTTATACTATGAGGGTGGTGAGGCATTGGAAGAGGCTGCCCAAAGAAAAGGGTGAATGCTCCATCCCTGGCAGTGTTTTTTCAAGGACAGGCTGGACAGAGCCGTGGGCAACATGGTCTAGTGTGAGGCATCCCTGCCCATGGCAGGATGATCATCAGGTCCTTTTCAACCCTAACCATTCTATGAATCTACGATACATATTGCAACAAGTGTTTGAAGCAGCATCTGATATCACAAAGGGTCTAAAGCAGACAATAGTTACATCAGCTTATTAATGTCAAATCTTCACCTTTTAGAGCATTAAGTAGGATTTGCTATAGTATCACAGTATCACAGTATGCTAGAGATTGGAAGGGACCTCGAAAGATCATCTAGTCCAATCCCTCTGCCGGAGCAGGAACACCTAGATAATGTTACACAGTAATGTGTCCAGGTGGGTTTTGAATGTCTCCAGAGAAGGAGACTCCACAACCTCCCTGGGCAGCCTGTTCCAGTGTTCTGTCACCCTCACTGAGAAGAGGTTTCTTCTCAAGTTTAAGTGGAACCTCTTGTGTTCCAGTTTGTACCCATTACCCCTTGTCCTATCATTGTTTGCCACTGAGTAGAGCCTGGCTCCATCCTCGTGACACTCCCCCTTATATATTTATATACACTAATAAGGTCACCCCTCAGTCTCCTCTTCTCCAAACTACAGAGACCCAGCTCCCTCAGACATTCATCATAAGGGAGATGTTCCACTCCCTTAATCATCTTAGTTGCCCTGTGCTGGACTCTCTCCAGCAGGTCCCTGTCCTTCTTGAACTGAGGGGCCCAGAACTGGACACAATATTCCAGATGGGGTCTCACCAGGGCAGAGTAGAGCGGAAGGAGGACCTCCCTCGACCTACTAACCACACCCCTTCTAATACACCCCAGGATGACACTGGCATTCTTGGCCACAAGGGCACAGTGTTGGCTCATGGTCATCCTGTCGTCCACTAGGACCCCCAGGGCCCTCTCCCCTACACTGCTCTCTAGCAGGTCATTCCCCAACCTATACTGGAACCTGGGGTTGTTCCTGCCCAGATGCAGGACTCTACACTTTCCCTTGTTATATTTCATCAAGTTATTCCCTGCCCAACTCTCCAGCCTGTCCAGGTCTCGCTGGATGGCAGCACAGCCTTCTGGCATGTCAGCCACTCCTCCCAGCTTAGTGTCATCAGCAAACTCGCTGATAGTACACTCAATTCCCTCATCTAAATCGTTGATGAATATATTAAATAATACTGGTCCCAGTACTGACCCTTGAGGCACTCCACTAGATACGAGTACCATGGGAAACTCAAAATCAGAAAGCTGGGGAATAGACCAGGCTGCTTTCTGAGCAGCCTGTATTCTGGAACTGAGTTTTCCCCAGGCTCTCTAGGAAAACCTCATCTTAAAATTTCCCCACAGAAACAGGTAACTAGGCTCTCCCCCTCTTAAGAGGATTCGATTACATTTTAGAAATAACACTGCAAAATATGTTCCCTGACTCAGAAAGAAATTGACAATTCACTGTCAAGAAGGCCGCTTAATGATGGGAAATCCTTAAGCAGGGCGAAAGTAGGCTATGGGAGGGAAATGAATAAATGCAGCGTAAGTTACAAAAGTATTCAGAATTGGCACGTTACCTGGTGGTGGGAGTAGGGGGTAAACAAAGAAATCATAAAAAAGCCCAAAAGCAGGAGGCCAGTATTTCTGCTCTTCTCCAGATATCAGACATGCTTGGCCAAACCAAATGCAACACACCAGTTTATTCTGCAAAGCACCATAGCAAATACAAACACCTTTGTCTAAGTAAGGACATAGTGTCTTCATGTCAAAAGACATGGACACCAAATTCATAGAACAGTGCAATTCATTCAGACATCATTGAATTCATCCTGTTCATGTTTTTTTCCTAGGGTTTTAGGACAACATTCACTCCTACTTTCATCAGGCACTCTCAGATTTTTTCATATAGTTACAGACATTATGTACCTTGGTGTTAACCTTTTCCAATTCCTTTTGCAAGCGCAGCTTGTCCTCCTCCAGGTCACAGCGGTAACGTGTAGTAACTTCAAGTGAAGCTTCTGACATAGATTGCTTTTTAAGAGCATCGGCAAGCTCCTGCTGCAGCTGTCTGACCACTCCCTAACGAAACAGTTTAATGAGCATGATGAAAGTTTTAAGAACGTTAAATAAACCTTTACTTTAACTTACTATATTATTAAATCTTTTTTAGGATTGAATTCAAAGGCATGAAATTTTGCCCGCAACCAGCAAGCATCTATACAGATGACAACCTCTCTTCGTCTCTCAGCTGAGCACCTCCAAGCTATTAGCAGCTGTTCATAAGGGCTTGTTTCCCAAAACACAAAAAAGGCTCAGGTATTATTCTTCTCTGAAATACATATAGGCACACACTGCGATCATGTGTTTTTCTAAAAACATCCAAAGAAATCTATTGTAAGAGACATAATTTGACTGCAGATATTAATCAGATGACCAAAGGCAGGGCTGTGCATTAGATCACTTTTGTCTATTCCTCCATTATACTTCCGGAGGTCTTCCCTCCCCCTGTGGCAATTCACAAATAAACAACAAGGTGGTTATCTGACATTATCTGAGATTCTGGATTTGTTATGAAGAAGGAAATGTAATTTTAAATCACTATTCAAACTTTTAAGGGAGGCAAACCTTACACCAGAGAGTAGAAATATTGAATGTGATTAGTTCTTATCTGTCAGAAAGTAAAAGAAGATTAAACAAAATGGGTAAGGCAACTTTTAAATAAATGCTCTACCTGGAATTGGTAGAATATTTCAACAATAGAGAAGAGAGTACCTACTCGTAAGAACATATATAACAATGCATTCTCCCACTGCCGACAGCTTTTTCAGCTATCTGTAACCTACTCCTACTTCTGCCTTTATTCTCTTCCACTCTTTTTCCTTTACAAAAGCCATCTACACGCAGTAATAGGAGCAACACTTGGTTCATGTGTGTTTGAGCAACATAAAATGATGCTAGTGCTCTGCACAGGAGCATGTTTCATACTCATGTACTGTGTGAATTTGTAGAATGACAGTTTAACTGATGTCCTAATGAGTATTCTGCCCAGTTATTTAGTCTTTCATGGAGCCATAAAGAAGGAACGCATTTAAATATGGCTACACATCATAAAACAGATTACTGTCTGAAATTACCTTCTTGAGGACCAGGCAGGCCCCTCAGAACCCCAACACACATACATAAATAAGCACCTGGACAGTACTAATACTCTTAAATTTTGGTAGCAACTTCTGGAGAAGTCTTTTTTTTTTTCCTCTGTAGGAGCTTAAAATAAATCCATCCCCATCACTTCACTTGTCTGCATCTTCATCTCTCAACCCTCACAAATTGGATGACTCTTTGTGTCATTAGTGCAAGACATAAAAATCAAACACAAAATCATTCTATAGGGCATAAAATAGACTAACGGAAGAGTTAAAAAAAATTGTAGAGAAGAATCAGTTTTCTTGGTACAGCTTAGACTTCTTTCCATTCTCTGCTCAGATGTGAGCAGTAACATCCTGTTTGCTGAAACCTTGCACAATTCTAAGTGGAAGACGATAAACTGCAACAGATCACCATTATTTGGTCCCATGCATATAACTTACACCTGATACATTTTAGAAAAATAAAATAAGAGCTAAGAAACTTTAAATTGTTCTTTCTAAGTATATACTTTACCTCTCTTTCTGCTTTCTCAGTCTCGTATTTAAAGACTTGTTCTGTTAAATCAGTACACTTGGCATTTAATTCCTTGTTTCTCTCTTCCACTAGGCAAACTTGCTTTTCAGTATCAGCTCTGAGTTTACTGAAAATATCATTAAACCGATCCTGCACATCATTCACCATTTTCATTTTGATGATCCCCTTGTTCTGCATATCTTCCAGTTGCTGGCGGAGTAAAACGTTTTCACTCTGAAGCTGGACCAATCGCTCCTGCATGGATTCCTGCTTTATTGTAAGTTTGCTTACTTGATCTTTCTCAAGCTGTCGAGCATGATCACATTCCTTTGCCTGACACTGGGCTTGACTTAATTCTTTTTGTGTCATTTCCAAAAGCAGTGTTTTTTCGCTGAGTGTTTGTTTCAACTGGTGAAGCTCATTTTCTAGACTATTAGCTTTGCTTTCAGCTTTACTCAGCTGCTGAGACAATCTCTTATTGGTTTCTCGCACATCAGAGAGGTCATGATGGAGCTTGTCTTGCAAGCGAAGCCATTCATCACGTTCTCTCTGAAATGTTTGTTCAACATCACATTTTGACGACTGATGATGTTCAAGTTCTTGAACAGCAGTGTTCAGACGGGAACGGAGTGATTCAATTTCTGTCTCTAGTGTGTCTTTGCTTTCTTTTGTCTGCTCAAGTTTGGAAGATAGCACTGCAGATTCTGTCTTTAGTAAGTTCAACTGTCCATTGTACGGAAAAACTGTTTGTGTTAAGGCTTCTTCATTTAGTTTAAGTTCCTCTTTGAGAGCCTCATTTTTTTCTTTCAAGGCTTCATTTTCCTCTAAATATTTTCCTTCTTCCTCCTGCTGCCTAAGTCTTACTTGATCAAGTTCTAGTCTTAGCATACCAATCTCGTCTTGTAGCAACTGATTTTTGTACAACAGATCCTTTTCTCTCTCAGTGGCGGACTCCTGAATGCCGGGAAACATAAATAGCCAATTAGGAAACCAATCTACAAAACCACTTCAGCATTAAACTGTGTTTAACATTTCTAACACTGAAGCATGACTTCAAAGATGAGAGTGAAATCTCAGTTAATACATAAGCTATTCTATGAACCCATGCATGTGTATAATGTATGCACACAACGAAAGTGTAACATGCCCCTAAACCCTAAATGAAAATCCTAAATATACCTTTCTTTGCTTCTTAAGCCAGCAACCAAACAATTAGAATATCTCACAGAATCATACAATAGTTAGGGTTGGAAAGGACCTTAAGATCACCTAGTTCCAACCCGCCTGCCATGGGCAAGGACACCTCACAAGTATATCTCAAGCATAAAGCTTTTAAAATTACAATACTTTCTTATATGTGCATGCCTTTAAAATATTTGCTTTAAGGTTTAATTTAGCTGTGTTACAAATCTGATGAAAACAAGGGTAAAAAAGGGTATTTTCCTTCTCAACCGTCTTCTTAACACCTATCCTTTTGTATTACTGAAACTTAGCTATACGAATCAATCATCCCTGGAACACACTAATCTTGTATATTTCCTCTTTATTATATATATTTAACTTTCTTCCACATATTCACCCTACGCCTATTGGTCAGCACAGCCAAGAACAAATAATTCTTCCAAGCACTGCACATTTGTAGTAAGTTCAGTAAACTCTTTTCAAGATTTTTTTTTTTGTTTTCTTTTTTAAATGCAGCTTTTATGGTTGCTTTTCCCTCCTGTAATTATTCTAACTCCTACAGAGAGTTTAATTCATTGATGATATTCACAGAATCATTAGGGTTGGAAGGGACCTGTGGAGATCATCTAGTCCACCACTGCTGCCAAGGCAGGGCCCCCTAGAGCAGGTTACGCAGGAATGCATCCAGGCGGGTACCGACTGTCTCCAGAGAAGGAGACTCCACTACCTCCCTGGGCAGCCTGTTCAGTGCTCTACCCACGGAAAGAAGTTCTTCCCCATGTTGAGGTGAAATTTCTTGTGTTTCAGTTTATGGCCACTGCTCTCTGTCCTGTCGCTGGGCAACACTGAAAAGCCTTCATATTCCTTCACTGAATTTTAGAATGTGGAGATCAAAAAGAAAGGCATGCTTGAAGTCAGTCAGTTTGATAACAGAGTAAGTAATAAAAACAAGTAGTGACAACACAAATAGTGTCAAACAGCTTTCTTCCTGGTCAACCTTAACGCAGGTAACTAGGTGTTTTAACTGTGAGAATCCTTAAAAACTAATGAAAAAAATGTCTATGAGATGAAAAATAACAAATAGCTTAGGAAACAGCATAAATAGAGTCTTCTGTTTGCTTCCTACTTGAACATGCAATTGAGGCGCATACAGGACTGATGCTGATTCCCAGAACTTTTAAAGACACTGTTGAGTTACACTGGAAAACTGTAAATAATCCATTCAGAAGCAGAAAATGTTATATAAGATTTTTCATAACTTTAGAACAAACATGGTGAAATGTAATTAATCATAGTTCTTCTTGTTTCTTCTTCTAGTTCCTTTTGCCTCCAAAGGTGGTTGTTCAAAATTCCTTCTTGCAGGGCTCTGGCACTCTTTTCCTAAGAGAGCTGTTCCTGTGTTTCATCACGCTCTTCTTCAACCTCGGAGTAATACAATTAAACTGCCTGCACCTTGAGAAAAATCAGAGCTAGAAATATCTTCCCATTGTCCTTTGTATTCTTGTAAATATTTTTGTTTCCTCAGTTATGATAAGCCGTTTATAAATAATAAATCTTAAATTTCTTCTGAAAAATTAAGAAATGCAGAATGTTTTTAGTAATTTAGAAAAATAACTCAGACTTCGCCTGAAATGCAAATGAAACCTAAATTTTGAAAAAGGAGAAAATGAATCCTTAAAAGGAGAAAATGAATCCTTAAAAGGAGAAAATGAATCCTTAAAAGGAGAAAATGAACTTGCAAAGAAAAAAATACAAGAACAGACAAGAAAAAAAATTAACAGACTACTTGTGAGCTAACATGTTCTCAACCGTCCTCAAAATTTGGCAAGTTACCTAAGGCCTCTTCCATGAACAACAAAGTACCACCTTCTTTAAGCATACTCAAACAGAGTGACAATCAAAAAGAAGCAGAAAATAAGTGTTTAACTCATTGTTTAACGTACCTGTCTCAAGAGCTTTCTCAGTGTTATTACCTCCATTTCTAAATTCTTTGAGTGTAACTCAAGTTGCTGTTTTTCCTCCATCTCTTTACAATATTGATCTTCTTTCCTTCGGAGTTCTTCTCTTGTTTTCTCATGCAATGTCTCTAATTTGAGCATCTTTTCCTCTTCTTGTTTCAAAGTACATCTGGGATTAACAGAACATTTGAGAAACTAAAGCACTGATGTAAAAAGTAGATATTCTACATGATGAACTTGCAGAGACAACTCATTCCATAAAATTATTAAATCTTTTCAGATTCCTACAGTCTTTTCCAATTTCCTCTTTTCACTGTAATTTTTAACTTTTTAAGGAATTCCAACTTCATTCCATGACCCATGATATCACTGTACAAGACACCTAAATAAACCACCAATAGGTACCTCAGTAATAAAAGGAAGCCTAGGGGAAAAATGTGGGCTCTCTCTGGAAGGCAACGGGAGACCTCGCTACCTGGGATCTGAAAAAAGCTGAAGTACTCAAGGATGTTTTCTGCCTTGGTCCTCCCCTGCAAGTGCTCCAGCCACACCACACAAATAGCAAAAGGCAAAGGGCAAGGACTGGGAGAATGAAGAACTGCCTAGGAGAAAAAACAGGTTTGAGACCATCTAAGGAACCTGAAGTTGCACAAGTTCACGGGACCTGATGAGATTCATCTGCAGGTCCCGAGAGAACCAGCAGATGAAGTGGCTACGACATTATCCATCATATGTGAGTTGCGGTGGTAGTCTGGCGAAGCTCCCACCGACTGGAATGGGGGAAACATCACCCCCATTTTTAAAAAGGGAAAAAAAAGACCCAAGGAACTACAGACCAGTCAGTCTCACCTCGGCAAGATCATGAAGCAGATCCTCCTGGAAACTATGCTAACATGGACAATAAGGAGGTGACTGGTGACAGCCAACAAGGCTTCACTATGGGGAAATTGGGCCTGACAAATTTGGTTGCCTTCTAAGATGGGGTTATGGCATTGGCAGATAAGGAAAAAGTGACCGACTTCACCTACCTGGACTTGTGCAAAGCATTTGACACTGTCCCACATGACATTCTAGGCTCTAAACTGGAGAGATGGATTTGACAGATGACCACTCTGAGGATAAGGAACTGGCTGGATGGTTGCACTCAAACTGTTGCAGTCAGTGGAGACCAGTGACGAGTGGTGCTCCTCAGGGATAGGTACTGGGACTGGTGCTGTTTAACAGCTTTGTTGATAGCATGGACAGTGGAATTGAGCGCACCCTCAACAAGTCTGCTGATGACACCAAGCTGTGTGGTGCAGCTGAAACACTGGAGGGAAGGGATGCATCTAAAGGGATCTTGACAGGCTCAAGAGGTGGGCCTTGTGCAAACCTCATGAAGTTTAACAAGGCTAAGTGCAAGGTCCTGCTCCGGGGTTGGGAGAATCTGAAGCACAAACACAGGCTGCGCAGAGACTCCATTAAGACAGCCAGGGCATGCTCAGCAAGCTCCCCAGTGAGGCCATCCTATGATACATCATCAACAGAGGATATTTCTTCCCAAGTGCAGGGCTTTGCACGTATCCTTGCTGAATTTCATATAGTGCCTGCAGGCCACTCCTGTCGGAAGTGATGTGAACAGTGATTAAAAACTTCACACCATACATGTCTAGCTCAGGAAAATGGGGAAAGGGGCAATCCCAAATTTGACCTCATAAACAAGCAAGCACAAAAATGCTCTCAAATGTGATCAGAGCTGCACTACGTAGAGTTACTAGAATTCCTAATATTATACACCAGCAGCAGCTACAAAGAAAGAATAAGAAAAAACACATCTCAAGATATCAAGATGCCTGTACCATCAGCATCTTCTGGAACATGCGCACTGACAAGATAACACATTAGCAGAATGCAAGGTTACATACTTAAGGCTTTGGATGTCACTTTTCCATTCCACTTCTCGGTGAGCCAATATGGATTTCAAATCTTGAGTCTCCTCCACTATTAATTTTGACTCTTCACTTTCCAATTTCCTTACTTCTCTCCAGACAGCTTTGTACCGATTTTTCTCATGTTTTATTTTCTGCTCATATTGAAGTAGTATGTTTTGAATTTTCAACAAAATAGAAGAACCTGTTTTGCGATAGAAGAGACACAAAGCTAAACAAATGCACAAGTACTTGCCAATGTATATATTATTTAATGATTTGATCTACTGAGTGTAGGGAACAAGGTTTTGGTAGTGGGAAGACTGCAAGCAGTGGAGAAGTCTCTACGAGAAGAGGCCATGGGCCTACCCCATGCCAGACAGAGCTGGTTCCAACACGCCCACTACAAAGCACATCTGAGCCTCTCAGCCATGCTGGTGGCACCTAAGGGAAAACATATTTAGGAAAGGACAAAACCACCACACAAAGGAGAAGGAGAAAAGTATGTGAAAAGCAGCCAGTTCAGCGAAGGAGGGGAAGAAGGTGCTCCAGATACCAGAGCAGAGATCCCCCTGCAGCCCATGGCAACACAATGGTGGAGCAGGTACTTCTCTGCAGCCCTTGGAGAAGATGATGCTGGAAGAGATATCCACAATGCAGCACTGTGGAAGACACCACGCCAGAGCAGGTAAACACTCCCTCAAGGACCTGTGGCCCATGGAGAGCACAGACTGGAGCAGATTTTTCCTGCTGGAAGGAGACACTACAGCAGGTATCCTGGGTTCAGCTGTAACAGTTTTCTCCTTCCTAGCAGCTGGTGCAGTGCTGTGTTTTTGCCTGGAGTCTGAGAATAGTGCTGATAACACTGATGGTTTTACTTATTGCTAACTAATGCTTACCCTGATCATGGAATTTTCAGTCTCATGCTCTGCCAGCCAGTGAGGAGGGACACAAGAAGCTGTGTGGGAGCAGAGACAGGACACCTGACCCAAACTAGCCAAACGGGTATTCCATATCACAGCACATCATCCCCAGTATATAAACTAGGGGGAGTTACCCAGAAGGCCAAATCGCGACTTTGGTCAGGCTGGGTATTGACTGGTGGTGGTGAGCAATTGTATTGTGCACCACTCATGCTTACTGTTTTCTTTTCCTTTTACCCTTTCAGGTTTATATCTCTCCCCTTGTTATTTCCCTTATCATTATTAAGATTAGTGGTAGTAGTATTAATAGTTTGCATGGTACTTAGTTACTGGGCTGCTCTCATCTCAGCCTTTGGGATTTACATTCCTTTGATTCTCCTCCATCCCTCCGGGAGCAGGGGGGAATGAAGGAGGGCGTGAGCAAATGGCTGCATGGTTTTGAGTTACCAGCTGGGCTTATTCCATGATAGCCCCACTCCAACCACAGTGGTAGAAAATGCAGCTAAACCAAAGGACTAATCCGTGCCAATATCAGTTGCCCCTATAAACGAGGGGGAAAGCAAATGAGAGCCAGAAAGTGGAACTCATGCAGTGAAAAAAGATGAAGACCAATGTGCGTACTAGAGGGGATGACATCTGAACAAGAGTTATTAAGAGTTTAATATTAATAGAGGAATCTGAGGAAGAGGAAAAAGAGGTAACTTCTCAATCCTTCACCTTGACTGAGCTGTGGAATATGTGAAAAGATTTCAGCCATCTGAAGTACATCATCACCTGGCTGCCCTGATGCTGGGACAATGGGGTCGACGGTCATGAACTAGAGGTAGGGAAGCCAAGCTGGGATCACTTACTAGGAAGGGGGAACTGACAAAGTGATTGCAAAAGAGAAATGAGCCCTCAGCCTCTGGAGGCAGCTTTTGGCAGCTGTGACGGAAAGCTATCCCTATCAGGACAATGTTGTGTCACTCAGGCAAGTGGACCATGATAGAGAGAAGCATCCAGTACCTGAGGCAATCAGCCATTCCAGAGATGAACTGTCATAGACCAGATGGCAGAAATACACCCATAGATCCAGATGAAGTCAGATGTAAATGACTCATCTGGCGGAAACTTATGTGGAGCGCACCATCATCATATGCCCACTCATTGGTATCTGGTATGAAGCAGCACCACCAACAGTGGATGAAGTGAGTCACCAAGTCTGAGAGTTCAAAGACAATCTCACCCCTTCCATCATTTCAGCTGTGGAAAAACTGTCCCAGGAGGGCAAACAACTGAAAGACAATCTATATGTAGCTTCCCATAAGTATTGATCTCAAGCTTTTTCAACCTATTTTGTCCTGTTGAGGAGGGGCAGTGAGAGCAGGTTAACCCTCACCTAATAAAATTTAAGCATTGTTTTAGAGACATAGTGATGCTTACATTTATATAACGCAATGTATATATATGCAAGCATCTTATGACAGTTGATTATAAATACATATTTAAGCAAAATCAGTATTTTGTTGCGCTATTTGACATAAGCTATTGAGTGTGCTGGTTTTGGCTGGGATAGCGTTAATTTTCTTCATAGTAGCTAGCATTGGGGCCAAGTTTTGGATTTTTGCTGAAAACACTACTGATAATATAAGGATGCTTTTGTTATTGCTGAGCAGTGCTTACACAGAGTCAAGGCCTTTTCCAGCCCTCACACCACCCCCACCAGCAAGCAGGCTGGAGGTGCACAAGACACTGGGAGGGAACACAGCCAGGATAACTGACCCCAACTGACCCAAGGGATATTCCACACCATATGATGTCATGCTCAGCATGTAAAGCTGGGGGAAGAAGGAAAGAAGGGGGGACGTTTGACCTTTACACGCTTGTGAAGTGGGCTGATGCCGACCTCATGAATTTTAACCATGCCAAGTGCAAGGTCCTATACCTGGGTCGGAGAAATCCCAGGCACAGCTACAGGTTGGGCAGAGAAGAGATTCAGAACAGCCCTGCGGAGAAGGACCTGAGGGTGCTGGTCGACAAGAAAATGAACATGAGCTGGCTTCAGTGTGCGCTTGCAGCCCAGAAAGCCAACCGTATCCTGGGCTGCATCAAAAGGAGCGTGACCAGCAGGTCGAAGGAGGTGATCCTGCCCCTCTACTCTGCTCTCATGAGACCTCACCTGGAGTATTGTGTGCAGTTCCAGTGTCCTCAAGGATGATCAGGGGACTGGAGCACCTCCTGTATGAAGATAGGCTGAGAAAGTTGGGGCTGTTCAGCCTGGAGAAGGCTGTGTGGAGACCTCATAGCAGCCTTCCAGTATCTGAAGGGGGACTATAGGGATGCTGGGGAGGGACTCTTCATTAGGGACTGTACTGACAGGACAAGAGGTAACGGGTTAAAACTTAAACAGGGGAAGTTTAGATTGGATATAAGCAGGAAATTCTTTCCTCTTAGGGTGGTGAGGCACTGGAATAGGTTGCTCAGGGAGGCTGTGAATGCTCCATCCCTGGCAGTGCTCAAGACCAGGCTGGACAAAGGCTTGGGTGAGATGGTTTAGTGCGAGGTGTCCCTGCCCATGGCAGGGGGTTTGGAACTAGATGATCTTAAAGGTCCTTTCCAACCCTAACGATTCTATGATTTTATGATTTTACGTTTGGAGTGATGGTGTTTGTCTTCCCAAGTAATCGTTGCATGTGATCGAGCCCTGCTGTACTGGAAGTGGTGAAATAATTCCTTAGTTTAATAAGCAAACAAGCAAAGTAAAACATCTCATGAGTTTTCTCATTTTCACTCTTCTGATTCTACTCCTCATCCCACCTGGGAAAAGTGAGCAAGTGGCTCAGTGGTGCTTAATTGCCAGCTGGCGTTAAGCCACAAGAGGATATAAAGAGTAAAAAGGTGATCTTGGTAACTTTTGATGACTGCCTTAAAAAAAGGTGAACTGCACTTTGAAGAATCTGCTTCTCAAGCTCTGACTAGACCAAGAATCAGTGATAAAGCAAGACATGTCTGTTGACATTATAGACAGACATCTAAGGCTAGGTGACATAATTTCACATTTTTTGATTCTAATCACAAAAGAATATTAAATAGAAATATAAAAATAAAATACCTAGGAGTGCAAAGAAATCATGTTTTAAAAGAGGAACAGCTGAAGACAAAGTGACTTGGAAACATACCTACAGGATCCACACTGAGCTGTTTTAACAGCAACATAGCCTCTTCATATGCTGAAGTTGGCAATTCAACATCCTGTGAAGTTGTGTCAGATGAGAGAGTTATATCAAGATCATCAGCTACATCCATTTGTATGCTGACCTACAAACAACACAGCATTTTCTGTATACAAATATATAGTATCACAGGTCAGTACAAATGCATGAATGATTCATTCTCTCATTCACAGACCATAGATTTGGTTCAAATATGACAAAAGCTCACACTAGCAGCAATTTGTGCATCTGTTGATCACTATGTAAACGCTCTTCCTATTTAAGTGATTAAAAGCTGATGCAAACTATTTATCAAGAAACTAATTTTACAGTACCTTGTTCTTTTCAAACCCTGTTCTGGCTGCAGGTCTGGAAAACAGAAACATACTTCAGTACTGAAAGGCTTATTACGAACAATTATCTGAAGTTGCTCTGAAAACTTTCATGTAAGAATTTTATTAGATTTAGTTGAAGATTGAAAAAAAATTGTGCACTATTATGTCTACTGGAAGGCTATTTTCTTGACAAGATATTAAGCAAACAGTTAAAATAACTGTTCTCTGCACTTCACTCAAACTGACAGGAATCTTACAGCTAGACATGTGGGTTTAACACTGGGGGTTTAGCTCTCTTCAGTATTGAAAATCCTTCTCTTACAGGTCAAAGAACCTATAGGTCTTGGATTCTCTAGTGTACTGGGTCTGGCTGAGATGGAATCAATTTTCTTCACAGCAGCCCACACAGTGCTGTGTGTCAGATTCTGATCAAAACAGTGTTGATAACATATCAATGTTTTAGCTATTGAACAGTGCTTGTACAGTGTTAACACCTTCTGTTTCTTGCTTTAACTCCCAACACAAATAAGGTTGCGGTGGGCAAGAAGTCAGGAAGGGACACAGCAGGGGCTAAAAAAAAAATAATTAAAAAAAAGGCCAGAAAACAGAAAAAAAACCCACCAAAACTGAGATGCCTGCAGTGAAGGAGTAATTCTGCTCATTTATAAAATCTCTCTTCTCCCTTTCTAAAATAAAAATAATTAAAAAATATATATGTATTTACAAAGTGCACATGCTCAGTCAATTATGCAGAATTTGTGCATATCTGACCGTACTAACTTGTCTAGTATGTTCAAAGCACTCCAAGCCAAAAAAAAAAAAAAAAAAAGTGCTTTTGAACACAAAGGGCATTCAGGTAGTATTGTCCCATGAAGAACAATCAATACAGGCATCAGCTTTACAAAAACCTTTAGCTTTCAGGTCAATTTTTATCATTAAGTTTCTTTATATCATTCCTTATATTCAGCACCTTCCTTCATCTTGAGATGTGTCACTGGAAGGGCTATCATCCAGTACTTGAAAATTATTCCCACTGGAAGAGCTCAACTGCTGATTAGCTGCCTTCTTCAAAGTCCGTCTTTTGTTTTTCTTTGCAACTTCCGCATTCAGAGCAAGTTTTCTACATTAAATGGAAATGGAAAAACAATCACTAATTGAGTAACATACTTAAATTATGTCCAGAAACAACTGACTTAACTCCAAAGGTGACAGAAGATACAAGTATTTAAAAAAAAACCCTTCCTTAGGAATAAGTGGTAAATGTGGAATCTGATCTAGATTTAGGTAAGCTGGAACATATCTAATATCCTCTAGGGAGCAGAATCCTTTGAAAAACAAACAGGAAAAAAAACTCCTGATCTGGTTTACATAAAAAAACATCTCCCTTCTTCAGACTTTAGAGATTGGTTTGGTAATATCTTTTCCCTTTTCCTGACAAAGACCATTCGAACTTAATGAAAACACTAACTGCATGAAGATAACTAAAATCACCTAGAAAAGGGAGAAAGCAAAGTAAACTACAAGTTCCTACTTTTCTTTTCTGGATAGACATTTCCTATAAAAATCACTGCCTTTTTTTCCGGTCTTCAACTTTGGTTTTGAAGACACATTTTGCCTCAGTATTGACAAGGAAATCCACAGGATTTTTTTTTTATCTTTTTTTTTAAAGTAGGCAATAAAGCTGAACCTGTGTTATAAGCTTAGTTTTTTCTAATTTTTTTCCTCTTGATGTTTTAGAAGCAGTGGACTACTCAGTATGGCTTTCAGCACTGACAAAACTACTTCAGCTACTACAGTACCAGAAAAATCTAAAAGATCCTTAAGTAGCACTACAAATAAGTTTACCCTTTCATTGGCATTTTAATCAGTTTTGACCTCTTCTCAGGTGAAAAATTCTTTTTGTCCTTTTCTTCTATAGCGCTTTCATTCTCCATTTTCAAACACTCATTCTTCCTTAGAGTAAGCTTCTGTTTCCTTTGCTGATCATCAGTGTTGCTTGGTGGCGTATTTAATTTATCAGGGTCATCTTGTTTTGCCATCACCTGCATTTTTAAACATCTTTCTTTGCTTTTGTCTTTCTCAACCTACAAAACCACATTTATATATTTCTTAGTTTTTCTAGAAGAGAAACACAATATCCAAGACAGATTCAGGGTTTACCTCTAAAATAATGAAAAATGAATTTTTTAATTCATACAGAGAAGTATTCATAACAGAAGCACTGTCAAAAAATTACACTACAGAGGATATTAAGTCATTGAAAGCACTTTGAATTCACTCATGATTAAAGATGTAACAAGAACACAGCCTGTAAAAAGCAAACAATAGCGTGTATCAAAACATAAACAACAAAATAAAAACATTACAGATGGATAAAGAGTCTGAATGACTGCAGAATGTTAGTTGTAAAAGCACAGAGGAAAATCAACTGCAAGTGTGCTGGGCTACTGCTTCTTTAATGGGGGCAGAGGGAGGATCCCAAACCAACAAGCAGAAATGGTTTCACAGCAAACAGGAATTTTAGTGAAGGGCAATGATAACACACCATGCAGAAATCACAGCAAATGAATAGATTAGTCAAGACCCTGTTCAGAAGCTATTTTCATTCTCTGATTCAGAATCACAACTGCTGTAACTGTGCATTTCTTTTCACAGTAATGAATAACAGCTCACACTGGAACTGAGTGCCACCTTTTGTTAAAATGGAACAATAATGTATTCTGTGTTTTCCAAAAATGGGAGGACAACTCTTCACTGCTCTATTAACTGTATTTCCATTAAAACAAAAACCAATTAGCACAATGCATCTTCCCTTAATGATTAATAGCTAAAGTGAACAGGACCATTGATATGGAGAAAGATTAAAGAACAATGGGTAGCAGGTGAACTTCTACCTCTTTTTGCAGCTCTGCCTTCTCTTTCTCCAAAGCCAGGAATACTATTTGAAGCATTCCTATCTTACTCTTAAATCTTTGCATATCTTGTTTTAGTTGATCATCAAGATTCCTTTTCAGCATGCCACATGACTGCTGAGCATTTGCAAAAGGACTTTCAATTTCTCTTTCTCCTATATTATTATTGCCAAGAAGGCAGTCGCTGGGAAGATCTCCATTAAACCCACAGACTTTTCCAAGCTTCCTTTCTGTTGCAAAAAGTGCATCTTCATCACTTGTAGAAACAGGTCTTATTTTAGGAAGAGCATTAGAAACATCATCCAAAATATCTGTTTTTAAGCTATGTCTCAGGGAGCATTCAGGATCTCCCTCTACATTCCTACTAGTTCCATTTTCCTTCTCTTTCATTTTTATTGTAGGCACTTTCTTTTCCTCTCCTGTTGCTACAGGCACCTTTGTATTATCTCTATCATTTCTGCCATCTTCTTCATCTGCACTCCACGTATCTTCCATATTTGCATTTAAGTCATTTTGATCAGGAAGGACACCAAGACTTCGAATTACAATTTCCATTTTGGGTACTTTTCCACCTGACATAGGTTTAATATCTCCAAAATCACCTTTACTTTCTAGCTTACTACTTGATTCTGTCGCAGGAGATGAAACAACAGAACTCTTTGATTCTTCACTGAAGCCATCTTCTGACACTTCTTCCACAAGGGAAGTAGTTTTTCCAGTTTCATTAATTTCACCAAACAGTTGCTTCAGCTCTGCTGTAATGTTTTTAAAACTTGTTTTCAATGCCCTTTTTTCATTTTCAACCCACAGTTTTTCATATCTTTCTTCCCAAGTTTTCTGACTTAACTGCTTGTCAGCACTATGTGACTTTTCATCATGGTGTGAAATTTCTGCTCTGTCAGTCTGATTTTCATGTGCTGCTTTTTGTATCAAGTTGGTAGTTTCTAAAATATATTTATCCTTAAGTAAACAGGTACAGACAGAAAAATTTCCAAGAAAAAGGAAGTTACAGTTAATCCAGGTAATTTCTCTTGCAAACTCATCCTCATTATGTAACAAATATAACATTTTGAGAGCAATTTTTATAATTAAAAAAAAAAAAGATGATAAAGATTCACAGTATCACCCAAAAGGAAAAACTCTAGCCAAAATTTAAGCAAACTGGCTCTAAACAAATCAGTAGAAAAACAAGTATCCAACATAATTACAAGGATTTTACCCTACTGTAAGAAGACTGCATCCAACTTCACTTCAATACAGCCTTCATCTATAGGACTCTCCTTTCAGCATTATACACTGACTGGTATGTTTTCTTTACCTTAGTGTAGAATACAATTTAACAATTCAGACTTTAATTCAAAATATTTGGGTTTACATACCTGTACCCCATAGTTTTCAGTGGTATCCTTGATGTCTTCTTTTGTAGCTGATGATGACATGTGACAGGTAGATCCTGAACAGTTACCTACAGCAAAAAAAACATTTCTATAACCAGCATGACTTAATATTACTTATTTACACTCAGAGTGCATCTTGCATCATCATATTTGTAAGAAAAACACTTAACACAAAATAACATAGCCCCTCAAATTCGTGAGCTCCTATACATATAACCTCCATAATTCAACATCTTTCCTTCAATAGTCACACATAGTTTTTGTAGAGAGGTCCTTGTCCTTCTTACTAGAATTGTGATGTGGCTGGATAATTTGAACCAGCAAGATTCCCCTCCACTGAGCATACAGTTCTGGAAGCATCCACAGGAAGGCATGGCGAGAAATACTGGAGCTTGATGAAGTCCAAAAAAAGTACCCCCACAGACACCACACTGATTTTTAACATCCTTTCAGAAAACAAAAGGAAAAGAACTCAAGAGAGCAGAACTAGGCACAGGCACCCAGTATTTGGTAATGTGCACATCGTAATAATTCCTGCTAAGTACAGCTACAGCATGATCCCAAGAATTACCCTTTGTCTCACCTGCAGCTCCTGGACATCCCTAGCCTGGAATTAGCCACAGCACACGCTCAGAGAACCAGTAATATCAAGAAGGTGTGTGTGTGGTTTGATATGTTGGTTGGTCTTTTGGGCTTTTTTTTCTTGGTTGCTTTGGTTTGGGTTTAGGTTTTTTTGGTTTTGGTGTTTCTTGGGTTTTGTTTTTTTTTGGGGGGGGGGGGGGGGGAGAGGAGGGAGGGGTGTGTAATTGTAAAGAAAACTCAGGACTGCCTGAAAAGGGGAGATGACAGCAGTCACAGTGGAGGAAGCCTACATCATCAAGAATATTAGTGTTGAATGGCAGACTAGAGGAGAGAGCAAACACATGCATAGATGAGTATTTCAGTAGACCTGCTGCTCCCAGAACATCTTGCTAGAACCATTAATTTAATATTAGGAAAAAATATGCAAGTAGAATGTGTCCATAAAACAACACTACAAAGAGACATGAATACCTTCAATATTCTCTGCATTTCCTAAACCAAATTCCTCCAACAGATCTGCAAAACAAATGAATCAGATGCTTTATTAAATACTCCATCCAGAAAGATTATGAAGTGAAACCCAGAACCACATGAAGCGAATGTTACCTGATTTCTCCTGCCTATTTTTAGGAGAGGGTTTATTTATTTCTGAAACAGCTTCGGGAGTCTTTAACTACAAAAGACACAATCCAGTGATAAAAAAAAACAAATTCAAAGTAACTACATACTACTTAATAAGCAGAACAAGTAGTTGGTCTGACGTGAACAAATATTTACCTGGGAATTGCTGGGTTTCTCTGAAAAGCCTGGCGGTAAAAAAATGTTTTGTCAAGTGTTATTTAATTGAAGGTATATTTTACTCCATTCAACATCAGTAGTTTCTACAACTAAATATTAGTTGCATTATTTCATCAAGACATTCAATTTCGCTCACCCTACAGCATTTGTATTACTATACAAGAAACTGACAATACATACTTCCCTTTGTGCACCTTGGACTGAGAAAATAATCACAGGAGTAGAACAATTCACATGAAGCAATAACATGCTTGTTAACAGAACAAGATGGAAATATTTAGTCCTTCTGAGGATCTGAATCCTGCTTTCATAAAGGATTATTCCAAAAGCCAAAGCTAGTCTGCTGCAATGGATGAATGTTCATGAATGAACAGTCCAACAGCACTACCGCTATGATTATTCTACAAGTGTTTAATGTTGAGAAGTATTTTCCTTTCCATTGATACAACAGAAGATATATGGGAGCAGACACAGAAATCTAATGCAAATGATTTCAGTGAGGTAAAACTAAGCTAGTTCTTATCAGATTATTCTGGCTTATCTTGAAAGAAAACAAAAGAGAAATATTTGGTTGTAATCCGCAAACATTTTTTTTCAATTATTTTTGTCTAATATTAAAGAACTTCTAAAAACTCCCCCACCTGTATATCTCACAACCTCTGTTTCAGTCATCTTTTAGTTTGAGTCCTCTCATGAAAAAAGTATAAGAAATGTTACTAGGAATGGCTCTACAGAAAAAAATTTATATTAAAAAAATCATTAAAAATCAAAATGTATTTGATTTCAGTAGACTTGGTGATCTAGCAGTACGGAAATACCTTAGAAAGGCTACCATAATCATTTTAACACCCTTTATACACTTCTTTTTTTCCTGTGGGTTTTTTGTTTGTTTGGTTGGGTTTTTGTTGTTTTTTTTTAATTATAATTCTTTAATTTAGTTTTTTTTTGTTGTTTGGTTGGGATTTTTTTGTTGTTTTTTTTGGTTGTTTTTTTTTTTTTAACACTGGTTTTTGACTTATCTACTAGAATCAGACAAAGCAGACTTCCATGACAATTACTCCACAAGTAGATTTAAAACTTCCTGGGATCTTGTAACATTTTGCTTCTAGTATACTGAACTAAAACTGGATTAGCTTCTTCAGCTATTCTGCTGTACCTCTACTACAAACGGGACTGACAAACTGCTTGTTAAAGGAGAAATCCTTTAAAAAGAGTTCTATCTCAACAGCAAAACTTTCCTGCCATCCTATGCTCAAGATGCTCAAGAGACAGTGTCACAAACTACAGGCAAAAAACTTTAGCCACAACACCTGAATGTTTAGTCACAATTTTAGCTCCTAGGCAAAGCAGAACAGAAAGCTATGAAAATAATAACCTAAGGGAAAAAAAAGCTTATCCAGGTCATAGCTTTCTTCTCTTGCATTATCATCAAAATTAAGTTTTCAGAAAGGTCAGGCCTAAATCACATATACTTTCATCAGTATGAAACAAGAACCTGAATCCAGAAAAATCTAAATGCATTCAAAGTACGCACATAATGCAAGCAAGACAACTTGCTTCACAAACTGGCAAGGAAGAGCTGTGATAACTGGTGTTAATTAACAAATACAAAGCACTTCATTGCTGTAGCATACATCATTAACAGCATTTCTAAGACGGACACTCATAAAAGTTCACTTTAGCCTATAAATGCTTACAAACAAACATTTAGTCCACCAGGAAGTTACCATTGTGGTCCCCTGAAGAAGGAACCTGAGAGCATGCTCCATGTCTGTCTGCAGCTGGGAACACCACAACACATGATGCTTTTCTCAGACTTTCAGAATCTGTCTCTATAATCTAAAAACAAATGCATTAGAATTGGTACAAATGCATTTTCAACTCATTTCTACGCAAAAAGCTCCTGCTAAGCCGTCTTGCACAGCATGGTATCAAGCACCATAAGGGATGCAGAAACCTCTGATAAGACGCTTGGAAAGAACACATCAAGACATAGTGTACTGGAAAATCAAAGCAGCTGTGTTTTCAGATCTTAGGCATAAACCTCAAAACTCATCTAAGCTACTCTGTCATGTTGACATGCCTTGGCAAATTGGACAGCCACAAAAGAGAATTAACATGGCAACTCAAGATGTGGGTTGTGAACCAGTAACTGCAGGTCTGTGGTGATCCAATTTTTGTACTGAACTTGTAGCTGACATTCAAGTTCACACTTATGTTCCCTAGGGACATATCCTGCAGGGGTGAGTGAACACATCGCTACTCCCAATTGCAAGGGTGATTTGGGCTGAACAAAGTCTGGCAAGGCAAAGCTTACAGAAACTAAGGCTACCTAAGGAAAAAAATAAACCCCAACAAAACCAACATTTTACTCCTGTATTTTTAAGAAGAGGGCAGGGAAGATTTAGATTTTCCTCATAAGAAAAGCCACAAGTGGTTAACTACAGACAGCCTGTTTTCTTTCATCCCATTACCACAGACAGAAAGAACCAAAAGGGCAAACGCAGCCAGCATGTCTGGTACTTCTGTTGAACATGACTTTCAAAAAGGGACAAAGTACACCTGCAAAAGGTAGAGATAATCTATTCAGAAACACCTAACCATCTAGGTTGTAGACTGTAAGGGCCACCAGGTCAGCAGAATAGAGCTGTATGGTGAAAGGACAAAAATCCTGCCAACCCCTGTGAAAAGCTCAGACTATTTTAAGTACCAAGAAACTTCACTGCTTCAATACTATACTAGAAACCAAACTCAAAAGCCAGTTTCTATGAGGCCCACGTCATCAAGCTGACCTAGCTTTATCCCAATCCTAACAAAACAGCTGGCCTACAGCAGAAGTATTTCAAGGGGCACCAGTTACCAAGATATGGCAGAAGTGGAAAAAGAGGAAAGAAGCCTCATCAGTGGTAGGGCCCAAGTCAGAAGCAAGCTCTCAAGTGCTTCTAGATCTTATTCCTGCTCTCCCACTCCCCACCCTGGTGGGAATCCCTGTGCTCCTCCTCTCATTAAGTACCTCAGAATCCCAGGGAGAGTCATCATCTTCCTCTGCTTCCGCTGCTGTCACGGCACCTAAAAAATGAGGTGAAAAGGGAGACACTGATTTTTATTTTTTTTTTATTTCACTCTGCCTTTCCCTGTCATTCAAGCCCTGCATCCAAAAGATGCACAGCGGCTCTACTGTTGAGGACAAACTCAGAATTGTTATTCCAGGGTTTCTTCTCACCCAGCCACATCATGGTATTTCCTTTACATAACCACTTCCTCTTGCCTCCTTTGCAGCAGAAGATGGCTATGCACAACAGCTGACAGCTACAAGCAACACCCAACACATGTTTAGGTAACATTCCCAAAGACATCCCAGCACACTGCTGTCCTGTGGTGCACAGAGTTCAAGTCACCTCTCTCCATCCTATAGCTCTAAAATTTGGCATTCATTACCACTTTCCACTGTACAGGAAGTACTGTTGAAACATTATCCAAAACATTCTCAAGCTAACAACACTAAAATCACCAAGAAACAATGCTCCTTTTGTCCTTCTATCAGGAATCATCCTCCTTGACACAGGGTTGCTACCCCAAACCTTCCCAGCAGCTAGACACCTGAGCACTGCCATTTAAAAACGTGCCTTCTCCTCCTCTGAGACCCAAGGCGAGTACCAAGTGCTCAGCTCTGACGGAGCTGGTAACACTTTCAAGCACACACAAGCGTGGCACTGGAGAGATGCTCTGCATCTTAAAACTGGACAAGGTGAGGCACCGGAACAGAACAGCTTTGTCTCAGCTTGACTAAATTTCACAGGCTTCAGCCAAGAGCAGTCACAGCTTTTCAATCTGACTACATGAGCCAGAAAGAATATTAATGTCACACTCAAGGCACTCAAGTCTTCTTTTTCATCTCCGTATTTTGTTCAGATCACTTCAGGGAGAGCACAACAAAAGCAAAAATGGCACTTGGTTCATATAGCATCATTCAGAATCGAATGTTAGAATTTCACTTCAAGCACAAAACTACTTTCCTTCTCTGCCAGTGACCATGAGGACTCACAGGCAAGAAGAAAATTTGCTTTGTCAATCACCATTTCAGCTCATTTGCTGTGCATTAATACTTATAAAGGAATTGGGATCAGTATTCACAAACTCATTGCTCTCAGCAACACTGTCTTTAGAAGCATTGTGGACTTGACGGCTACAATTACAAGCAGAACTTTTCATACCCTCAACAACTGCGGTTTGTAGCTTTTCACCAACATCTTGCTTCTCCTGCTCCTCCTCGTCATCCCACTCAGACGATTTCTCCTAAAAAGATCAATCAAAACACTGCAAAGGGCTGAAAAAGCATCTTTTCCACCACCTACAGACTACTTGAAAAATACTTTTCTTGTTTAAGACAAATGTGAAACTTTGAGCTTTGTTCTACAAGGCCTTCAATTTTTCCATGGCAATCTGTATGAGTAGGCAGCAATGCCTAACACCATAAAGTCTCATGGCTGGTTCTGCAAAGCCCCCAAGAATTCCTCATGTCAGTCTAACACTAGCTTTAAGTTACATGATTCTGGAACATGCCTTCTTTTCCCCTACTTTTCTCTCAGGACAATCACTAGCTTTCTGCTCTCAATCCTATTTAAACTTCTTTCTGTTTCCTCAATTTCAGCCATCACACAAGGAATTTTACTAAATGGCAGCAAATCTTTACAGATAAAATCTATACGTACAACTGAGAAAACTTCAGCCAAATCCCAAAAAGGACTACTGCCTATTTCTTTTCCCACAAAACCACTATAACCAACAGGAAAAAATATATATACACATATATATATTGCCTGATAGTATTCTTATACCTGAGAAACCATTCTGCCTGGGAGTAAGACATTCCCCAATATCAAAAAAGAATGATCAAAAGACTGATATATGTGAAGAACAGTATTAATAGAACTCCAGTTTAACATTTGTTTCTTACCTATATTACCCTTAGAAAATAACCTTGTGATTGAATCTTCCCTATATACTCACTTCGGTGCTCGAGTAAGATGCTTTTAAATTTTCTTCACACTTGTTTAAGCACAAGTTTTCACTGTCTTGTTTCAGTGCTTCACAGACTTCACCATCTACTTTTTCACATTGCTGTTCTTCAGTATCTTCATCATTCACACATTCAAGAACAGAGTTTGGTCTTTGACTTCCAAGTCCTGGGTTTTTTGCTGCTAACCAAGAATTATCATCATTTTCAAAGCCATCACCATCACCAAAGCTTGACTTTTTCTCCTTAAGACCAGAGCTACCTGAGGGAGGCTGAGGTATCTCCTTTTTCCAGTTTGTCGTTTCAGAGCCTACAAAACAGGAGTCAGCATTTCTGTGAAACTTCTTATGGATCATGCTTTTCTTGTTCCCCCCTTCTTGTGTATCTTGCAAATTATTTAGATTTTGAAAGACAGCTTGTTTTGGTACTGACTTGCAAGATACTTCATTATTCATTATCTTTGGAGACATGGCAGTTATATTTTCTTGCGACCATTCATAACATCCATCTATAAAAGATACAGCAGTATCAACAGATTCCTCCACCTTTTCCTCAAGTTTTTTACTTACAGCATTATCACAGACATTTCCAGCTCCACACCAAGCTTTCCCTTCATACTTGGCACTACTAATGTACTCCAGTTTCTGATTAATTTCCCCTTTAGGCTCTTTTTTCTCACCCTGCTCCTCCTTCACTATGCCATTAGAATGAGTTTCTTCAAGATCTTCCTCCTCCTTTTTGTCTTGAGTAAGATCTTCATCCTCTTCTTCCTCTTCCTCCTCATAATCCTCATCATCATCTCCATTATCTTTTTCATCATGTTCCTCTTCCTCCTCTAGTTCCTCCTCCAGGCTTTTCGCATCTGGAATTAATAATTGTCCACATTTTCCTTTGCTTGCATTTGCACCTGACAGGGCTCTTTCTTTGAGGCATTTCTTTGGCGACTTAAGATTTTAAATTCTAGAACTATCACCATCTTTAAGCACAAGAAAAGGAAAAATGCATGTGAACAAAAGAGTTATGTAAACAGTAACAGGCACGTTACCAGACTAATGCATACAAGTCATCTTGGAACTTCTGGAAAAGGAGCCAGATAAGCGATGGGCAGGACGGAGAACGGACTTGACTAGGAACAAAGGCTTAGGAGGGGATTAATAGCTTAATTTTAAGGATATGACTTTTTCCTGAAATGACTAAGTCCTGTGTTTTCAAAATGCTACTTTTTTAGCTACGATGGCAAAAAAAACCCACACTACAAAACAAAACAAAACTACACCCAAAATAAACAAACGAAACAAAAAAAGACCTACAGAAAAAAAAAACAACTAAAAACCACCTCCTTAGCAAGGCTTCTTTTATGTATCAGTGTATCATGCAGTCTTTTCCAAATAGCTTACTGTTTTTCCTGTACTGCTGGGAAGCCTTCATTAACTGTACCAAGTTTGGCTTCTGCACCTTCTGTAAATAAAGAAACCTGGTTTTAGTATATGTAATCATTAAGTAAAATTCAGCTATATTTAAGATCACAGTTTCAGAAAGCTTCCTGCAAATGTGTAAAACACAAGTACCTGTTGAGACTCCTAGACTTGATGCATAAATTAGCACCTGCAAGTACACTTCCTCAAATACCCCTACATTTCAAAACCATGCCAGAAAACTGTAACATTTCTATTTAAATCAGGGCAAGAAAATGAAATGTTTAAACATGCTTGCATCTCTAGCATTACTAAGAAGAGTAACTGAACTTCCACACCGAAGTTCCTCATCACTGCAGAATCCCAGTGCAACAGAACAGATGCTCCAGACATCACTGCAGAAGCTGATAATTCTTCAGAACATCAGGCTAAACAATAGGCATGAGAGCTTGTAGCTGGCAAAAGCAACACTATCTCAGCATTCAAAACAACAGAGGGAAAACATGCAGTGTGAGATCACATGCACACATGAAATGCCATCTCATAGAAGAAAAAAAAGACAACCCATTTGAGTAACTCATCCATTGAGTGTTCTTAAGGAGCCCGATGAGGAGGAAAGGAGAACTAGGTAATGAAGGATTTCAGTAGATCTTGATAAATAAATGTCCTTTTTCTTTAACAGTTAGGATTTTATCACCAAATTCACAGGAAACAATAACAATGTTCAGAGAAGAACAGAACAAGTTATAACAGTAATGTATAGACTTTTAGGGTCTGCAAATCTGACTCAAATGAACAAGTAAAACAGTGTGGGTGTTTATCTCATCACCTCTTTGGCTCTTTTGCCCCAAACCACAAATCTACTGCATGGTCTGCCATAGCTATGGATCTTTTAGGAAAAGCTCACAGCAGAAGAAAGGCTGGCAGGCCGGAGACTGCATCTAAGCAGAAAACAATATTGGCTAGAACTGCAGTTTCTGTCAATCCCAGAGAAAACTTGCCTTCAACTCACTTATTTTTACAGGACATTTTTCTTGTAAACACACCATACCTTGGGGGTAAAATCGAGTTCCTCCTCCTCGGAAGTATGCCAACTGTCATCACTCCCCACCTCACAGCTTCTTAAAAAGCAAGACAAAATGAGTATTGTGTCTCACAAATCATTCCTCAGGTAAGTGTTAAAGTGGCATTTTTAAAGTCTCACCTTATTGAGTCTCCTTGGGAAAACACGTCCATTGCTGTTCAAACATTAAGTGACACATTGAAATTAGATCTGACATGCTAACAATTAACCAGAAGATATAAACATTTAACATGGGACAACTCTGCAGGTCATAGTAGTATGAAGTTTGGGGTAGTCAATTCAACACAAGACAGCCTGAACAAATGCATTTCCAAAACAAATACCATACATTAACTATATTAAACTAATAACATATTAATGTTAAATTAAATTAAAAAAAAAAACCACACCAAAAAACCACAACCAAAAAACACCCCAAAAAGGCCAGAGTTGTATCTCCTTCAGACTCTAATATACATAGAAGTTTAAGAAGCATCTCTAAGGTAAAAACCAAACAACCAAAAACTATGCACACAACAAAACTCCAAACAAACCAAACCCACCCAAAACCCCCCACAGCATGAATATACTACGTCAGTAAGCAATTAACAAAATGTTGGTGGCTTAGCAAGACAGCTAGTAAATTAACTAATGCTGAATTACTGATATTACACACACATGTACACATCACATACAGAGATTTTACTATCTTACGTAACATTATGTTATATAATACCAAGATTTGTTGCTCTACCCAGTTACACATTATTCAGACAAGGTAAATAAAATCAAAAACCATGATCAAAATCTAAAGCTTATTCTCAGGTGGAAGAATCACCAGCAATTCTCTACATTGCAGCAAAACGCGTATTCAACAGATAAAAGGTGCATAACCAGGGCATTCTATATTACACTCCAAGCTTTCATCAGTGTTATGAAGCAGCTTGCATGTAGGATCACAGAATAAATCAGGTTAGAAGGGACCTCAGGAAGCCTCTAAGCCAACTGCCTCCTCAAAGCAGGCTCAGCTATGAGGTCAGATAAGGCTGCTTAAAGCTTTAAACCAGTCTGGTCTTGAACACCTCGAAGGAGGTAAACTGTACTGTCCTTATCATGGTGAAGCAGTCCCTATTCAATTAGAAACACTCATTTCCATTTATACCTCTTTTATTTTTGCCTCCTATCATGCACCACTGGGAAAGCACCTTGCTTTGCCTTTTCCTGGAAGTTGCTGCTCGGTCCCCTTCAAAGTCACCTCTTCTCTAGGCTGAACAACCCCAGTTTCCTGACTTGCTCCTTGAAAGGCAAGCATTCCCACTTCTGGTGAGTTTGAAAGCCCTCCCCTGAACTTGCTCACTGTTCAGACAGAACAAGAGTCCAGCCCCTCCTGCCTGCAGGGCTCAAAACTATACCTAGGGAGCTGAATACAACCCAGTGAGTGCTGAGTAAAGGTGCACAATTACCTTCCCCAAACTCTTGACTATGATGCTCTTAATACAGCCCAGGACACTGCTAACTACCTCAGTTGCCAGGACACGCTGCTGGCTCATTCTCAGCTCACCCTCTGCCAAGACACTCCAGTCTCTTCAGCAAAGCGGCTCTACAGCTAGGCAGTCTCAGCATGTTTTGTGACAAGTGGATGACAACCTAACTGAGGTCTTGGACAAAACCATTAAAGGAAAAAGAAAACAATGAGATATCATGCCTGAAGACATCTCCTCTACTACTAGTAAACCACAAATGAACATGGAAATTTTGGCTGACCTAAAGACAGGGTTCATGTGAGAATTTTGACGAGTACATTTCCTGACCCGAACAGGGTTTTCAGACAATGAAATACAATATATGTGGTTCAGCGTGGACAAGTCACGTAGACATGTCTTGTGAAACTTCCAATGCAAGAACAAGCTAAACCAGAAAAAATACTAACACGGACTTTGATTTTTAATGTTGCCTACTGCAAAGAAATAATATTTGAAAATTTCAATTATTTGGACATACCACAGTTTTGTGTTAACTCGCTCATTGCTAGCAGTCTAATGTACCTGTGAACCTCCCAGGCTGAATAAAAATCTGTCTCTGCATGGATAGTATATAGCAGTCAGTTATGAACTCTTCACAGGTAGTTTCAGTTATATTTTCAATTAGTACAGTTATAATGAATCAAACCACCTGAGTAAGTTATCTGAACTTTTGATTTTGATGTATAGCAACTTTAAGCAATGATCAAAACCAGGTCACATTATCCTTTAGAAGTCAACACAAAGTTTATGAGCTAGCTTTCACACAGACCTTAATGCCCTACCATAGAAACAGAATCTAGAAAATCAGCCTCTGGGGGCTGCTTATTTCAAACTTTAATTAAAGTCCATTGCCATTCTGGAGTAATAGAAGAGCATACTTAATAAATAAATAAATAAATTTACTACCATTAATGACACAAAGCAGACACTCAATAATAAAGGAGCCAGGCAAAACATGCAAACAAATAAAAGGCACCCAAATTTTGCTCTCACATCTAATTTTTAAAACCAAAACCATGAAAATAGGGACTTCCAGGATAATAAACATCATAGGTGAGTTAACATTTGTATTTGTTACAGCATGTTTCACATTTGAAGTGTTACTGCATAGAATACCTTTCTTTGATTTTCCCATTCTTGATGCCTGGTTAGGAGATTGGGGCATTCCTATACCCATTTAGGAAAAGGCATGGAAAGGACAGATGAAACAATGCTATCAGAACAAATCTGTATTCCCAGATTTAGAAAACACAAGCAGTACATCAAAGCTATAGCAGTGGAGAATGTACTGTGAATATCAGCCTACTCTACAGCTGTAAGCACTAGAACAAAACCAGTTACAATCTACAGAAGTCTACTCTCAAGGGACAAACAGTGTAACTTAATTTACTTGCTCCATGTAAAATACTCATATTCCAGTATTCTGAAATACTGAAACAGTTTACCAGAAATTTACTGTCAACTTTGTATTTCCCTCAACCTGACTAGCCCCTGCCTAGCAGAGATTGCAAATGTAATTCCTTCATATTTGTAGAGTGCTTTCCACATACAACACACTTTAAAATCCCTCCCAAGCATCCCCCAAATCCTTAGCTACCAACAACTAAACTTTGGAGATACACTGACAAGAAATTTTGAAGGAAATCTTGGTTTTGGTACTCACTTTACCACACAACTTTGAGCCATTATGTTATTTACACTCACTCATCAGAAGTTTTAGCATGTTTATTATCCCTACTAAAAAAGCAACCCAGAACTTCCTGCCTTTAACCAGCTCACCTTGAAACTTGTGTCAATTGGTATCTGATGCAAACACAGACCCCTTCTACCTCAGTTTAAAGATAGAAGTCCTGCTTGCATTGAGTTGACCATGCTGAACTGTTCACATATGGGAAGCTATGCCAGCAGCCACAATGCAGATACAAGTGGTCAGAACAAATACCCTCTTCCACTAGGCCTATAGGGAAAGCCAGAACTGAACCAAACCGGGTGCACTGATTGTGCGAGTATCACGCATGCATGTTTGTGTGCATATGCATGTCTATCTGTTATGGAACACAAGTTTTGGAATATAAATCACCTATCCACCTCCTCTACCCAATCCTACTTAGTAAAATTTTATATTCCAAGTCAGAAAATGGTGTCATTCTGCGTTCTGCTACTACAGCTACCTTACACCAAACTTCTTTGTGACAAGGCCGTAACATTTGTCTTGAAGCAGAAGGGAGTCTTGCTTAAACTGATTTTACCACAGGTACATTCAATGAATGTGGCAAAAGGACTCCTATGAAAAACACACTTGAAGAGGTAAGAAGGGGCCTCAAGATGGTTTCTCATCCCTCTTCCATTTCCCAGTTCTCTTAAAAGGTCATACAGGACAACTTTTCCTGACCTCAGGAGATGCAAAACATACTGAAGCACTCATTTCTTTTCCAGGAACTCGATGATGAAAACTCAATAGTTTCTGTAGGGACTCAGGGAAACACTGAAGAAACAAATCACTAATATGCAGTGCAGTAGCTAAAAAAAATACTGTCACTGTAGACTGTCCTGGGTTCAGCAGCAGCAGTCATATTAGAAATCTGAATCTCTCGCCTTTAGAAAAATTGCATAATTATTATTTTCTGCCCAAGAAATTCTAACTTCAAATCTAAAGAGTCTGTAACTCAGTATGCTAGGACTGGAAGCCATTCATTTGGAGGTTTTTGCAAACCTGTTTGTGATTAATAAGAAGGTTCATGTTATGACAAAAAGGAAGCATACAAATAAGCACAAGCCAACTTCTTAAATATCATAGAATATAATGATAGAATAATTAGGGTTGGAAAGGACCTTAAGATCATCTAGTTCCAACCCCCCTGCCCTGGGCAGGGACACCTTACGCTAAATCATATCACCCAAGGCCTTGTCCAACCTGGTCTTGAACACTGCCAGGGATGGAGCATTCACAACCTCCCTGGGCAACCCATTCCAGTGCCTCACCAACCTCACAGTAAATAATTTCCTTCTTATATCCAATCTAAACTTCCCCTGTTTAAGTTTTAAACCGTTACCCCTTGTCCTATCACTACAGTCTCTAATGAAGAGTCCCTCCCCAGCATCCCTATAGGACCCCTTCAAATACTGGAAGGCTGCTATGAGGTCTCCATGCAGCCTTCTCTTCTCCAGGCTGAACAGCCCCAACTTTCTCAGCCTATTTTCATACAGGAGGTGCTCCAGTCCCCTGATCATCCTCGTGGCCCTTCTCTGGAATTGTTCCAACAGTTCCATGTCCTTTTTATGTTGAGGACACCAGAATTGCACACAATACTCCAGGTGAGGTCTCACAAGAGCAGAGTAGAGGGGCAGGATCACCTCCTTCAACCTGCTGGTCACGCTCCTTTTGATGCAGCCCAGGATACGGTTGGGTTTCTGGGCTGCAAGCGCACACTGCCGGCCCATGTTCATTTTCTCATCAACCAACACCCCCAAGTCCTTCTCTGCAGGGCTGCTCTCAATCTCTTCTCTGCCCAGCCTGTAGTTGGGCCTGGGATTGCTCCGACCCAGGTGTAGGACCTTGCACTTGGCATGGTTAAACTTCATGAGGTTGGCATCAGCCCACCTCACAAAGGTGTCAAGGTCCCTCTGGATGGCATTCCTTCCCTCCAGGGTATCAACTGAACCACACAGCTTGGTGTCATCCGCAAACTTGCTGAGGGTGCACTCAATCCCACTGTCCATGTCAGCAACGAAGACGTTAAACAAGACCTGTCCCAACACTGACCCCTGAGGGACACCACTCGTTACTGGTCTCCTTTTTTTTTTTTTTTTAAAAAAAACCAAATATCACATATACATCCCAGGTTTTACTCTTATTTTTTGGCGTATTAAAAAAAAAAACAAGAGAGTAATGAGCTGTGAACAATCTGCTGCCCATTTGCCACGCAGCTCAGGCATAACACCTTTAAAAACCCGGAAAGAAAAAAAAAAAAAAAAAATCCACTGTAGGGTCTGAGATTTAAATGATGAGACAAAATTTCATTTAAATTACAATATTAATTTTCTAATATTCCACTATAGCTATGGGAGCTCATAAGCACAGAGTGGATTTTAAAAACTCACTGAAGAACTTAATTTTTTGATCACAAGGCAATTTGTTTTTCTAGATCACTAATTAATAAGGATTTTTTAAAGTTCATTTAATAAAATTACTTAAAGTGGATGAAAAACATAATTTTTCTTGCAAATCAAACAATGTCCAAGAAGATACAACACAAATGCTACATTGTTGTTGCTAGCAAAGTTACCATTCCAAGATATTTTTTCTTAGAGTATGTCCCTAATCAACCACATGGAAAAAAAAAAAAAAATGTAATTGATGTTGAGAAAGAGGATGACTCACTAAAAATTTTATTGCAGATGAGTACTAATATTAAAACAAAGACATACAAGCTCACTGGAAATCAACATGACACATACCTTCCTGCTAACTCATCTGCTGCTTTCCACCTACAAAAGTATGAACAACTACTCAAGATAAACCTACTGCTTTTGCAATTGGATTTTCACAAGCTGAATGGCCATCTGTAGGTAAAATTACACATCTGAAGAACAAAAAACACTCTTGCCTAGTTCCTTCCCTGTCCCCCTTCTCTCTAGAGAAAAACCTACACAGACGGGCAGCCTGACAAGCAGAAGACAGCAATCCTATAAATGAACATGTAGCACACAAATCAGCTTGACAAGAAGCACCTCCAACTAGCACCAGATAAGTACATTCCCACAACCTTCTGTGCTATCCATCTCATGCCTTCACTAAATTTAATGGTGAACACAGCAAGTGTTAACAATACAAGCCACCATAAGAAAATGACATGCTGATTTTCCTCAAGAGCTACTCCATGGTTAAGGATCCTACCTCCTCTGTCCATAGCAGATGCACCCAACGTAAAGTCACAAGCTCCTGCCTGGCGCCGAGTGCTACGTGCGTCACTTGCAGAAGCTTCTCCCGTGTTTTTCCAGTGTGTGCATTCTGACAGTTTACTAAGACTACATAAAGAAAGGAAAGAGCTTTGGTAAAAGTAACCACATATTTATACAGACCATTTAACAGAACAGTTAAGAGCCACTTATTGTCCATCCTATACATATTCCTAGTCATATGGATTCATATACTCAGATGTATTCACTAAGGGTAACATATAGAGAACTTATTGCGTGACTATTACAAATTTCAACATCCACTACAGTCATGTTTACTCTATACATGCATATTCAGACCTACAAAATCATTAACTACTGCTTTCCTGCTTGGTACATTTTCTTCAGCCTTGCTTTTCAGCACACATAACCACCTTAGAGAAGGAACACCCAGAGGTACAAAGCTATGCATAAGAGCAGTAAACTGCCAAAGATTTTGACAAAAGGGATATCAGTCAGATCTTATCTGAAACAAAAGGCTCATAGTTCCTGGTCATTGTAGGGGAAATCAGTCAGGACAAAGGTGCTGATCTGGGGAGAGGGTTCACATGCATTTCAGCTTGCCAAGTTCCACCTCTGGATAACTGTAGGATACAGCCACTTTTTTTATTTTGGGCACATGCGAGCTTCACAACAAAATTTGAAAGCTATCAGAGAATTTTGGGTGGAAATCTTCCTCAATTGTGAGTTAACATTAAACACAGGAACAATATATATTGGAAGACATTACTGAGCACAGCTTCAAGACAGGTCTGAACACACCATTAAACCTTGGTGCTGTTATACCAAAACCAGCAACTTAGACAACAGACACTGATAACAGACAACTTATTCCAATTATAAAGTTGAAAATTTACCTAGAATATCCATGGATAACAGCATAATCCTCAGCTGTCCACCCATGAGTGTCTTTATGGGAAAGATCAGCACCATAATGAAGAAGAACTTTTATCAAATTAAGCTCCCCACCAGAAGCAGCGGTCATAAGTGGAGTTCTGAAACGTTCAAAATACTATATGAAACAGATAATATTACATAGGCACTAGAATTATTTTTATTCATACTTGCTCTCAAAAAAAAGTACTTCCCCGTTACTTTAAAATGAACAGAAGAAAGGGCAGTTTTCGTTAAGTATTAAGAGCAACATTAAAATGGGAGGAGTCAGAGCAATTAAACTGTCAAGCTTCAGACAAAGCTTCCAGGTAGACAATACTTACATACAAACTATGCTGCTATGCAGGGGATGGTTTTTTCAATCGAGGCAATGCTGCTCAGCTAATGGCACCTTTCCTGCCAGAAGGGTCACCACACACAATGCCTTCTTGCAATCCTCAGTGCAAAAATCATCCACTGAGGTATGACAGCAGCCAAGTGCAGACTTGCTTTCAAAGCTCATTCCCATGACTCTCATCAATCCAACCTAATGAATACTAAAGGGACCCATGCAGAGTTTTGACATATCCCTCACCTTCCACACTGATCTCGAGCATGCACATCAGCTCCTTTTTTAAGAAGAAATTCCACTATCTCTTCCTGATGTTCCGAGACAGCAAGAATAAGCGGGGTACATCCCTCCTGATAGGACATACAATTCCATCAAGTTAAAAATCAAAGTGAAAAAGCCCCCTCAAGATGAGCACTAACATGACTTTCTGAAAGAGCTTCTGTAACAAATCTAAAAATTTACCTTATTCTGGGCATCAATATTGGCATTATGCTCAAGTAATAGCCCTGATATAGACGTATTAGGAGATATAACAGCAAGATGAAGGGCAGTATTCCCATCTGCATCTGCCAGATTTGGGTCAGCACCATGCTCTAGCAGAATAGCCACACACTTTTCTTGCTGGCACTGTACTGCCTGGGAACAACACACAAGAAGGGAAAAATTTCAAACATTTACACTCCACTTTGTTACAACTCCCCCAGCTTCCCTATAGTGGAACAAAAGAACATCCTCAAAGATTGCCTAACATATGTCTATGCCACAGCAATTACAATATACATGGTTCTACAAAAGCCTATATAAAGAATCTGGCAAGATACATCATTTAGTGCATAATCGATAAGCTCCACTTACAAGAATATAACATTCCACATACCTTCATCAGTGGCGATCTGTTATCATTGTCAAAAAGATTTAGCTTACACTTGTTTTCTATGAGGTATGTGACGACATCCGCATGGCCATTTGCGCAAGCAAGATGCAGAGGTGTCCTAAAAATTAAAGTACATTAAATTAGCACAGACAAACAACTAAGGAAATCATTTCAGGCTGTGACAAATGGGTATGATCACAAGTTTCACTTTGCAAAGAAGCAAGCTTAAGAAAAGACTTCTCATTCCATTACCAGCAATGGCAGTTGCACACCAATTGCCTGAGGCTTGCTGGCAAAAAGTTTTCAGAGCGTCCACTTAGTAAGGTGCTATTTCCTTCACTGCAGAACTGGAAGTGCACAGATTCCTCTGCCTAGGCAATGGTCACTGCCTCCAGCAGTACCACACACATGGCACAGCAACAGAGACCAAAGATCAGAAATCTGAGGACTACAGCAAGTAGGCTCATTCATGTGCTAGAAGTGTATCAGACATGTAGGATATAGGGTTTTTAGCAAGAGCATTAGTCTTTCCCTGCACTTTGAGAATTACTGGTTTTTCTCTAGCTTGCTTACTAGGGCTGCAAACACTTGCAGTTAGGTGCCTCTGATAAGGTGTAGTAAACCAGACAGCAGAACACTGTAATCTTGACTACAGGAACGTGAAATCTGACCCTCCTGACATGTACGACTATTACAGCAATAAAAAGCCTACTACAGAGGAAGCCTCCAAGGAGGGAATATCGTGTTTCCACAAAACACAACCAGCATAAGCAAATGAAACACAGAATGAAAAGAAAAAGAAAAATGAAATTTTTCTTCAAGTTAACACCTTGCAAAAAAGAGAAGAGCTCCTTCAAACCACAGAACATCCAAAGTCTGGTGTTAATTAACCAGCCAACTTGTACGCAAAGACAAAATCACCCAGACCTTCTTTGCATGTGTTTCCCTCTAAACCACAGGCACCAAGCAGCACAAGCTTCATTCTGTGCAGAAGGCAAAGTGCCTGCTGCTCTGCAGGACACATGTCCCAACAGAGCAGGAGACAAGCTAGAAAACAGCCAGGACCCTTCTGCCTTGAAGGTGAAGCAACAGAAAAACCGCACAGGAACACAGCAATTCCTAATGCAGATACTTGTTACAGGGCAGCTGATGGATCTCCTCCAGGGAAACAAGGTTAAGGGCAAGAAAAACATACAAAACTTCAAAAGAACTTGCAACGCCTTGCTACAGAGAGAGAAGAGACTCGAGCATTGCAAGAATGACTGCCACAACTTTTGAGAAATTCCCATGTGAGTATGCAGAATCCTTCATCTCTGAAGAAACAACTGACTGATAGTATCTGAAAGCTAACCAGGACTGGTTTAGATGATCATGGACTCTTTCATAAAGCTCCTACTGCCACTAAGCACTATGAAACATGAGAAACGTGAAGAAGTTACTATCAGCTCTGCAAACAGAAAAGCCTTCAGAAAACCAGCAGACTCTTGCTGCAAGTCTCCTCAACCAAGCCCCTCAGACCGCCAGCAGGGAAGGAGATTGGCTCTGCTTGAAGCAAGGCCTGCTCAGCTCCACAACAGATACACTTCAGGACACAAGCTGGCAGAGAACAACAGAGTGCTTGCAGTTGCCTGTTCCCACAAGAACACCAAAGCTGCTCTGCCACCCAGCCCTGAGGACCCTGGGCAGCCCTTGTTCCTCCTGTGGCTGCAGTCCTACACTGATCACCCATGGGGTAGAAGAGAACTGCCTGAGCAGTTCTCCCCACAAAACCACACCACTGGGAGACCACAGGGAAACTGCAGGTTGGTGGCACACGCTTCTAACAGCACTTGAGCCTATAACTCAGCAGCTACAAGCTGCTCTAGAGTTCACTCTGACAGGCAGCTTGACAAGGTATAGCTCTCTTCGCAATTAGCTTTGATCCAGGACTCACTACTAGGCAGCATCACAGCTACAGTACTTCCAGCTCTGGGCTGAGGTTTGGACATTTTTTTCTGCAAAGCTGAAGACTTTGTTAGACCACCTCTGAAAAAAAGCCTGCTCCTAACTGATGCTGTTCAAAGTTCATTTTCTGGGAGGACCTATGGGCTACAGGACCTGTAGGTGTGATACGTTCCCCATCCCTGGTAGAGGATTTTGTTTTTGGAAGTCCCAAGGACCAGAACTGAGATATTCATATGACCAAAGCACTCATTTCAGCCATTACTTCCCACACTTCCTACTCTTCACTTCTATTTCCCGTGACATCAACTGTTCCAGTCATTGGAGGACCCAATGAAAGTCTGAAACATGACTGCAGCTGGTGGTCACTCACAACTCACATCACACCCACAAGCACTGGTGGGCCTGCAGCCCTCACGGAGGGTATAGTGTACAGCGGAAACACAGAAACATTCAGCAGCTATTTCCATAAATACCATTGGGCACCTCAACTCAGACACCTGGAATATACACAGAACACAGTCCACCTTAAAACCACATCCCCCACCTACAGCTGCACAAACAAATACTGACTGGCAACACTCAGGCACACCACCAGCATTACTGAAGTGCCCGCTTACCATGCTCTTCCTTGCTTCTCCTACACATCTAGGTCTTTTTGAGGCAGTAAGCTAGCTGGCTGGCATAAGTCCAGTATTCAGGACAGACAGCCTAGGGAGGCTGAGCTACTCTGGTAAAACCCGGATCTCTTCAGAACATCACAAAGGTTTTGACTCTGAGTTATTTCAGAAAAGTCATTAAAGACACATTCAAGACCCAGAAACTGAAGCTGAATCCCTTCTGCTTACGATGGATCGCTAGGCGCTATGCTACAGTCTCCTTAAGATACAACTGCCAAGCACTTGCTATGCTTGACTCAAAAACTCACATAGTAACCTGCCAGAAGCAGCAGCTTCTCCTGCAAGTTGCCGCCTGGACCTCCCAACCCAAGATATCGACTACCTGTAACAAACCAACTAACTGCCATCTAAAATCAGGTTGTTGCTTTGGCTGCCACACCGCAGTCAGAAAAGGTACATCAGGCAACTGCGCACGCACTATCAACAAACCACACGTTTCTTCTGCTCTGTGGCTCTTTCCTGCCTGCACTGCTTAACCCTCCTTAAATTACCCGCAGTTAAGGGAGTGCAGCTTTCTCAGTTTAAATGCAACTTACCTTTGGCAGGCTGCTCCCTTCAATTCCTGCGCCCCAGGCAAGGAAGTAGGACTCCGGCAAAAAAGGCACTCAGAAGGCCGGGGAAAAAGGCGACAGCTGGACGCCAGGCCGAATTTAAGGGCTTCTGCCAGCGCAAGACCGACTCCCACACCCAGCCGAAGGCTGAGCTCGGCTGCAAACGACTCTCACCCCCCGCACTGCTGCGGCCATTCGACTCCAGCACCGCTGAGCTGCTGCCAGGGGCTGCAGCTGCTCCTGGCACTGCAAAGCCTCCCCGACCCCGCCTCAGCGCTCTCCCTCCGCCGCTCCCCCCTTACCGCTCCGCCTTGTCCCGCCCGTCGACGCCATGCTTCTTCAGCCCCTGCCGCACCTGGGCCAGGTCGCCGCAGGCGGCCGCGCGGTGCAGCTTGCCCAAGTCCTTCTTCCGGAGATCGTACGCACCGGCGGCAGGGGGCGTTGAGGCGCTGCCGAGAGGCTGCTGCCTCTTCTTCCTCCCGAACCCGAAGATCCTCTTCATGCCGCGGCAGGAACGCGGGCACGGGCCCGCCTCAGGGGAGCAACATCAGGAAGCACCATTCGAGCTGGGCGGGGTCCCGAGCGAACATCCGGGAGCGGCCCCGGCACGGTACAACTGCTCCAGGCGGAGCTCGTTCTCCCGCCGGCCACTACCGGCTCAGGGACCCGCCCTCCGTCATGCAACGGCCAGCCTCGCGCAAGCGCCACTGCCTGGCGACGGGGTGGGGATTGTGATGTCTGTGAATGGAACTGAAGTGAGCAGAGGGGGGTTCTTCCTCAGACTTAAGGCCTTGCTTCTTTGTCATTTTCAAGGACGTCTGCATGACTGACTGCAAGAGCAGACGGAAAACTCTTAACAGTCTGCCCAGGAAGAGAGCCTGAAGGCTGCTTCAAAAATACAGCTCTGCTCTCCATACCAGCAAGGTCCAAAGAACTCAAACTCTGTGACAAAATGCAGCAGTTCTAAAATGTCAAGTCACAACGGTTCTAGCAGCTGTCGCCATTTTGCAGCAGTCTGTACCAGAAGCAAGCAGAGGGAAAAACGGGACAGCAGCATGAGCAGGGGACGGGAGAAACAGACCCAGAAGGGGGAGCAGAAGAAAACAAAGACACATGCTAGACTGCACAGTTTATTAAATGCCAGGTTGGAACAAAAATACTTGAATTAAATGCTGGGTCTTAGCAACTCAAAAGTGTCATCTTCCTCCCATTGCTGTATCAGTGGGTTGTATGTCGTAACAGACTCCTTCGCCTTGAGAGAGGACTGCTGAGGACCAGGCAGCTTGGCACAGAACTTCCTCCTGAGTCACCTGTCAGAAGCAAACTGATCATTAGCAGTTGTTTCAGTATATTAGACCATACAGTTTGGATCTATAAATGGATTCTAACGTTAGGCTAAAAACCATAACTTTGCTTATGGATACACTTTAACACTAGTTGAGGGCACTATTTCAAAATGCTTACCGTATTTTCCACATAGGCTTCAGCCTCGTTTATTGACAGGACCTGGTCGTGCTTCGGACGGTTTTTCCTACACACAGACTTGTGTTCACTGTCAAAGTGCTGCCAAGATGTCCCAGTTCAGTTGAAGACTGAACTGGACTTTCAGACAGATCTTCACTGTCACTGCTGCTTGTGGATGGTAATCTCTTCCCACGGCACTCCTGACCGATCTTAGCATAGGCTTCTGATAGTTGCTTTCTAGTTCTGAAACATTCAGAAATATACAGAGAGTCATCTTTGGTAGTAACGCTTCCGCAAAGTTACCCTCCAGGTCTATGACTATTATTCGATTTTGAAAGTGAAAGGGATTAAGAGCATCCAAAACAAGAGCATCGTTTGATCTGAGTTTTTTTGGAGCTTGCTTCTAAGAAGTGACACTACCTGCAAGGAGCAGCAAGAGTTACCAACACTTAGGACTTCTCAGGATTAGGGATTCAAAGCAACCTGTGAATGCCATGTGTTTACATAGCTTCTTCTGAAAGATACATCACCTGTGTAAGAAAACTCTGGGCTACCCTCCTTTAGCCAAGGAGGGCTCAAACCTCAAGACATGCTGCTAAAATAAAGTCAAAGATTTTTTTATTTTTTTTCTTCACAGAATCACATTCTGTTCTCTGAAAGACCTACACTTACTCAAGCAATAAGGGACCTGAAAGGTGATGAATAAGCACATTCACACAACCTTCTGTGCCAGGGTCCAGTCTGATCCTTGTGACTCAATGGGAGCATTTCCCTTACCCTTTTCACCTTTAATTCCTCTATCTTGATTTCCTTTTAAATTCCATTAGACATAAACTGTTGTCCCAGTCTGAGATTAGGACGAGCTCCACCGCACCTAGACTCCATCAGGAGTTTAGGAAGCAAGGGGGTCTAGTCTGAGCCTCATGATTCAACAGTGTGAGATATATAGGAATGATTCGTGTCAGTAATTTAGGAGTCCTTGCCATCATTGTACTTTGGGTGGAATCGAAAATCCTTGAAATCATTGTAGAATGTATAAGAATGATTAGATTTTCCTGATTCAATCTCAGTAATTGCTGTTTAGAAATACATGATGAGGGAATAGCCATAAGTGAGCTTGTGAGAGAAGTGAAAAAGCCCATGTTCCAGTACCAACCTGGAATGGAATCAATTTAGGAGGATTAGGATCTTGGGGACAATTTTTAAATGGGGACTGGATCACTAAAATCGGTATAGTGATATTGGGAATATTTGGAGGACTATTAATTATTCCACGTATAATCCCATGTTTCGCCAGATTGATACATACAGTTGTACAAAACATGCAATTAACCGTCATGCCATTGGAACCAGAAAATAAGGGAGGAACCCACTCATTAATGGTATTAAAAACAAAGACGACTCCAATATTATCTGCTGCTCAAAAGGCAGTTATTAAATTGGAGGCCAAGACACGAATCAGTAAGTTACATAAAAACAAAGGGGGGAATTGTGAGATGTATAGGAATGATTTGTGTCAGCAATTTAGGAGTACTTGTCATCATTGTACTTTGGGTGGAATCGAAAATCCTTGAAATCATTGTATCATCTGTAGAATGTATAAGAATGATTAGATTTTCCTGTCAATACAATGATGAAAGAGAAGAAGAAACAAAGGAATAATCCTTCTTAATCAAATGCTTTGTTACTTTAAGGGATACTTTAACTACTTGAATGTCTCAAACGCTTTGCTAATTAAAGGGGTACTTTGTTTAACTGCTTGAATGCCTTAAGGGGGTTAGGTAATCGAGAGATCCATCCTGTCACAGGATGAGGTGAAACTTGTGTATTGAATAAGTAACTATAGAAGAAATGGAATTTAGGAGGGCTAAGATGGTGGTTAAGCTTGTGATAGACATCCCCTGTTAATGCATTACCAAGGAATTCAGTAACTTTTTAAGAATTTTCTTCACCCGAAGATAAGACCCCAGCAACAGGAGGAGAACAATGAAAAGGAACCACGTCAATATTCGGGTGAAGGAGACGACAGGATTGGCTGAAACCCAAGACAGAGGAGTATAAGAGACTATGCCCCAGAAACCTCGGTGTGCGTCTTTGGTGGAGCGGAGACTCCCCTGCCCGCCCAGCGCTGCTTGCTTATTGCCTCTCGATATTAATCAATTGTAATAAAATAATTGAATTAGACCATGGCTGAGACGAAGTTTTATAACAACAGGAGGGTCTGCCTTGTTCCTTTGTACCCTCGGTTTCTGTACACATTTCAATTCAACTCTGTATAATCACCTTAATCCAATCATGTATAAATCATTACCAGGTCAGACACAATCTCTTTTTGTATGTAATAGAGTGACCCTTGCCATTGAATTCTGTTGAGTCACACATTTCTAAATTTATATTAAAATTACTTTTATTAATATCTCTGACAGTGATTCTTTTAGTGATCTTAAACGCTCAGTTTTGTGACACCATCCCTGTGGTAATTAGTGTTTGTTGCCAGTGTTTTTCCAGTGCAGTATGTCCTCAGGCTAAGGTGGGTGGGTGAGGTGATTTTTTGTCAGTTAAGTCTCTGCATCGAATGCTGTGTCCCATAATCACTGCACAAGACAACAAGGAGTCTTGCAGAGTAAATCCTTCTGCAGAGGATTTCCCCTTGCTCCCTTCTTTTGCGCTCTCTCAGAGTTTCACAGTCTCTTGCAGCCAGACTTCTGCCCTACCGAGCTCTTTCTTCAAAGCTTCCCCGTGCCTCCGGTGGAGGCTCCAGTCTCAGCCTTTCTTTTCTGTTCTTGGTAGCTAGCGTTACAACACAACTCGATGCAGAGGGAGGTGGATAATTAGACAGCGTTGGGACGCAGTGCAGCTATTCCAAAGGCACAGTGCATGCTTGGACAGGGCTTTTGTGCTGCCTGGTCGCCTTCCTGCCTATTTATACCCAAGGAACTGCCCTGAGCAGAGACTAATAGTCATCTTCAGAGATGTATTGCTACTTTCCGTGTGTGCTTTTTGCCATCTAGTGGCAGCAAGGTATTGGTGTACTGTTTGCCTCTGGTAGTCGCACTTTTCGGGCATGGCACAAAATTACCTGTACTATAGGGCTGCTGTGTAAAGCAGGAAGATGCAACTATCCATCCTCACTACTGACTGTACTGCTGTGACAAAGGGCCAGGAAACTAGCTTTTCCTGGAATGGTCAAACTCAAGTAAAACCCCAGGAATGCTCAAAATCAGTGCGTTTCTGAAGCTTAGTGCAGTTTTGAGTTATTTAAGCAAATACTCATTATGCGATCATATGGATGCCTTGTTTCTGATTTGGGGGTGTACCCTGAAAGGTAACGTTGCGGGGCCTCTGAAATGAGAAGATGCATTTTGATGGGAATGTTTGTTCCATCAGCAACCCCCCAGCACAATTACGTATGCTGTATTTCTGAAAGGCAGTAGTTGTGTTCCGGGTGCAGGTAGTTAAACCAGCTCCAGGACAGTGATGCCAAATTGCCCTGGAGGAATTTCCCTCACTGAACTATACAGTCCTACAGCAGGTCTGTAGGGATTATGTGGCCACCTTCCTGAGCTTCCACCCGCTTTTGAAGTAGGCTATGACTTGGAAATGAGTTTATCCTTGTTGACAACTTGTTCTAGCTCTTGATATGAAGCTATGGAAATTCTCTTCACATCCAGAAATGAAAGGCCTGCTGTTGGTCACCCCACATCTGAAAGATGCTATGGTCCCGCCACTTTGCAAGTCTAGTAGGAATTATAAACATCCATATTACTGGTGAGGTACTGAGTCCAAAAACAACCATTAGCAAGCTTTGGCATGGATGATATGTGCCAAATGGCTATAGCAGGTATGTTGCAGGTGCTTTGGGATAGTTGTTGCACACAGGAGCAGACATGACATAAAGTGTAGCTGTTTGGGGAGTGTTTCAAGCATGTCCTGATGTCCCCAGAAGTGATCTTGGTGTGTTTCTTTATTTATTATGGGAGCAACCCTCAGGGGCAGTCTTGCAGAACAACAGTGAGATGGTCAAACACTCTCCAGTAGGGGATAATGTTTAAAGAGTACTATGCGATGTGTACCTTTGGTAAGGAGGCTTTTTGACAGTGCATTTTCCTTTGCTCCAAGACAGGCATCATTTCCCAAGATATAGAAACACT